ATATTAAGCAAATTAAAGCCTTATGATAATCACTAGATAGATTTGAAATCAATTTTAAAATTCTTTCTTTTCGTCTCATAAAAAACTAAAACTTTGAGATACGGTTTTCCATGACCATTACATATGACAATTGATAAGACATATGTCATATAATTGTACAAAAAATGAACGCTATGCCAATCAAAAAATAAGCAAATAACAAAACAAAATGATGTAGGGAAAAAAAGTGTTCAACAGCTTAACTTGAACCTAAATAATCATACTGCAAAAAAAAAAAAAATTATCTATATAATGATCTTATTCTGAATAACATGAAGTGAACATTATAAGAAAGAGAATTAGCAGATTTAATGTTATATTCCAATAATTTTCATCAGTTTTACAGATCTACTATAGGATTTCAGCTTTCCCACATTGTCAACTTTCCCTATTTATGTAGTTGTATCACTTGCATATGATATTTATATCTCTCAGCTGATTTGGTTAGCAGGAGCATGTTCTGTGTAAAATCAATTTTTAAACTGACACAGGCTAGTGACAAATGAGTTGATGTTATAGTGTTTTCTACAATCTCATTTAAAATCAGCATTTCACAAATTCTATGGTCATTATAATGACATTGTTTGCAAATACAACCTATTGTTGAGTTTATCAATTTTTAAATCATATTTTTAGCTCACCTGAGCCGAGGGTTCAAGTGAGCTTTTCTGATCAAAATTTGTCCTTTGTCGTTGTCAATGTTGTTTTCACTATTTCAACTTCTTCTCGAGAATCACTAGGCCAATTTCAACCAAACTTGCCACAAAGCATTCTTGGGTAAAAGGGGATTTAAGTTTGTTCACAGTAAGTGCTACACCCTCTTTCAAGTGGAGATAATTAAGAATTCATGAAAATTTGGGTGCATCTTTAAATCTTCCTCTCAAGAACCACTGGGCAAGAAAAGATGACTTATAGGTGGACTGACTTATGGGTGAGTATATACGGTAGTAGCCAGAGACAGGAAAGGAATGGTTGCAACAACTAGCCTTTGGGATTGTAAAATTTTAAGTCAAACCTGGAAAGAATCTTTTCATGCTATGCATGAGTTCTGATCCACTCAGACACATGAAAATGGGTAGATAAGAAGTCTAGCATAGTTTCCAGACAATAGTTCTAAAACAATGGTAAGTTTAATTTTTTTAGTCCCTTTATGTCCATCAAAGAAATAAGCACTTAAACTGCTGGCTCCTGGATTCCTGAGAACACATGGACTGGTTCTCAAGTCTATCAGACAGGGGACCAGATATGAAAAGGTCTTCATTTAATGGCTAATTGATAGATTGATATGCCAATTCCCCCGATTATCTCAAGTGACTGGACAACAGACATAACCTTTAATAGAGGGAACATGAGCTTAATGTTCTGCTTTTTCAAGATATTAAGCATAATTTTCTAGATTATGAACAAAGAATAATTGAGGATAGTTTGTTCATTTAAATTATGTTTTTGTCAGTGATATATTCAGATAAGCTTAAAAATATTCAAAAATAAGAAATTATGCTCATGAGATTTTTTATATTCTTGTATATTGAAATTTGTCTGATTTCTTGATGGCTTAAAGTTTGTCATGGTTCATTTAGTCTTTTTAATTCCGAAAATCTTGCAGATTCAAAGAAGTAGAATAATTTAGTGTTTTACAATACTTAATTTCTTTTAAAAATGCACATATTACACATCTTGTTTACACGATGAAGCAATTGACTCATTGAGATCCATCAACTGTGACAAACTATGGATATAGAAATCTATGATATGACAAGCAATAGTCTGTGGTTTTTAATTAAAGAAAGCAATTACCACATAGTACATATATTTATTAATAAATCAGATATATCCACCAAAATATTGTACTACAAGTGTATTTGATTGGTAGAAAAAAGTTATACTTTTATAGTTTTAAGCTGATCTTAACCAAATTAAATGGCTAAAAAAATGGAGTAGCTTGAGTGCTGGGTTATGTAATGAAAAGATGGAATTACAGAAGGTGAAGGGTAATGAAGAAAAATTGTAGTCTTTGACATGAAGGCAAAAAAAATGTCTCAGTGCAAGTGACAGATTCTTAAAGTCATGTTTCATGTAATTTTCTCTTAAATCATTAAAGAAGAGTAGAGTTGTTTAAATGAACACTGTAGAGATGTTCATCTGTTGTTATGTACAATTTTCCCACCTACATGAATATACTTCCATTCTTTAAAACTGGTTAATTGCAAGATGCCTTATTTGATGCTCGTTTTGAAGACTGCAAGTTCAAACACTTCAAAACAACAAAGGAAGGAGCTCAGTTTTTATGCAAGAAAAAGCCATTGATCTTTAAAGTTATTCAGTACAATTTTCTTAGGCTTTTTTCATTCAATTGATGATGTTGCAGAATAGTTTCAACCTCACAGTAAATTATTCTTTATTTGTCCAGCAAAAAAGTTTGTAGTTTGTTTTCTTGATTTAACAAGAAAATGATCATGATGATAAAGAACTATGAATTTCAGAATATTAAGAAGCACTTAGCAGCAGCAAACTCAATATAGGCAATATATATATACATATTTTTCATCCTATGATGAACCCCTGGTATTGATTTCACCTTCCTGACTTTTAGAGCAGGTCTTTTTATAAGTTAACTGTAAGTCCTTAATTCTTGGGCCAAACATTAAGAGATTAAGTGCTTAAATGAAAGGACATATCAAAGTTATTTGGAGGGTCCATCCCCAAGGAAAATTAAGCCCTATCTGGATGAATCATACAAGAACGATCCATCTAGGGGTGCTTTGTACCACTCTTATGCAGATGCTGCATCTTAAATATTCTTTGGATGAGTGGCTGGATTATTTGTTTTCCCAATCCCAAGTATATACAAGCCTTATCTTCAAATAAATTACATGGTATCCAAGGATTCCTGCTACCATATTGCTGTGGATAGTTTCTGATCTCTATTTTTCATATTGAGTGGTCAAATTAAAGATTTGAGTGCTGGTCCATTCTCAAATTTAAGTGAGTCCCCTATGAACGAAAGGAATTTTCATGAATCATAGAATAATGCTAAAATAAATAGCCCTCATCACCAGGGTGAAGGATGTGGTGGAAGATGAGCTATGTAGCCCATAGGCCTCTTGTTTATATGTGTATAAATATGCCATTGGGCTAAATATCTCATTAGAGAGAGATATATATGTTGTATAAAGGAATAACAACTTACATACAGGGTTAATGATGACTGATTTATTGAGTGATCTCTCTACAGGGATGAGATCATATCATGTAATGTTCTGCTGGTGATGGGAGGTTTAATCTATTATATGTGATATTGTGCATACAGCTGTCATGTGACAGATTTCTGGTACATACATAAATGTGTGTGTATATATTTTATTTAGAATTTTGGCATATATCATTTTATGCATATTGCAATATTTATTTAAACAATAAGTATTCTTTGTTGTGTTATACAGGATATAATGGTTGCAATTTTAAAGAAAAGATACATAACCCACAGTCAAATAAATTTGGCCTATCTTATGGTCATATAATTATTGTGTTTAAAAAGACAAATTGATGCAAAAATGAGAAAATTAGTGGGAAGGGGGAATAGAATTTTTGCATTGATCATGCAAATTTTGTTCAATTCTTTTAAGTTTTAGGATTAATGAAATCGCAGGTTTCAGAACCAAGAAAATAATCTACTTTAGCTGCAAAAACAAAAACAAAAAAAACAAACAAACTATTGTATGGCCCATTGCAAAAATATTGCTTACCTCCTTTCTGATCATATGCATGTGTAGAAAACATAAGTCACCATGGCTTCAAGTCCCTAGAAGTGGAATGTTTGTATAGACCAAGGATTATGAATCCACAAAAAATAATCTGAACATATTCTTCACCTTTGCATGCTCAGATTCCATGTTTTTAAACAATTAATTTTTACACTGTTAGTAAAAGTTGAAATCAAAACTTTAATTGCTCATATTTTTATAATTTTTCTTTATTTATGATACAAATATCACAAAATATATGATAACAACCCGCTTTGTCTCTTTAATACATTGGGTACATGAAATATCACTTATTTTAAAGTATCAACTTTGTGTTTTGTACATTAAAGTTTAACAGGCATCCCTAGTTTATGACAGTAGTTAATGTCCTGTGATTATGTGGTAATTTTGAACTCGGTCATTATGTGCAATACAGCCATGTAGGTTTTGTGTGGAGAGTTCATTGTAAAAAAAAAATGTTTACATTGAATTTAAATTTTTTTGTTTTTGTTTTGTTAGGAATTTTGTTTATGAGTCTTCTTTTATGTTGTGAGTTAATGTAATAAGTCATTATATTATATTGGATGTAATACAAGTTCTACCCCATGCACCATTCTCTCAATCTGAAGGTACAACATAGATACAAACTTTGAAAATCATATATCAGTGCACTGATATGAAACTCATTGAGTTATTATGATGAGACTAAGCTGCAGATCAAGTTGAGCGTAATGGCCCTTGGATATTTTTAAGATTCCATGAAAATTTTATTTGTGCCCCCTCTCTCTCCTTCTTTCTAGTTTTTGTCAAAGTTACTTGTGTATGTTCAAGATATATTCATTTGGTGAATATCCTCCTAAGCTCAACATGTTCATGTACATTATATTAAGAATTACATTTAATGCTTAGCTGGCTTATTTAAGTGAAAATTAATTTTACGCCTGGATTTTTCTCTTTTAGATCAGCGATATTAATGAGTATGTTACCTTAATTAGACTCCATCATCGATGTGGATGAAATAACTTTTGTTTTTTTATGCAGCCCTTTAGTCACAAAAAATTCAAAATATTTCTGAATAAAAATACCATTTACTTGAACACACTGGGTCTAAAATAAATGATTTCTTTCTCAAATACAAAATAGTATTCGAGGCTCAGAAATCAATGAATAATTAATTTTGTACAAATCCATTCTGTTTAATTTCCTGTCTTTTTTTAGACCCAATGACAGGACTTTGGATGATTTGGAGATTATCTATGAGGAGTTACTTCATATTAAGGCCTTGTCTCATCTGTCTACAAGTGTCAAGCGGGAGTTAGCTAGTGTACTGGTGTTCGAGTCTCATGCCAAGGCAGGCACTGTGTGTATGTATTCCCAATTTCCACAAAAAAGGATGAAAGGAAAACTTTGAAATTATTCAGATTGTGCCATTAATTTATTTTTGTTTTCCAGTGCTTCAATGGAGATTTATGTGTATAATAATGGTATTTATTTGTTTTCAAAAAAAGAGACCAAAAATTATTTTTAGCAACACAAAGATCTTAGAATGCTACGATTGCCTTAAGGTCATCGATATTCTGATAAGAGGGATAACTCTTAATGACATAAATGTCTATTATTCCTTTATGAATTTGTTGAAATGTCTTTTTTGTCCAATTTTGCCTTGCAAGCTTTGCTATAATTGTTTGTATTTTACTTAAAAAAAGATTTCTTTCAGAAAATCATAAGAGTTAAAGCAACATTTTATATGAGTGAGCAGAGGGTGTATGAACCTTAACTTTTTTCTCTTACTCTTATTTCCATCAGGTTATTGATTTCTCTTATCTGATATGTATGTAAAAATATTTATAGGTAATAACATCGATTGACAAAATAAAATCAATTTGATGCTCATTACAGCTGTGAATAATTTTCTCATTTGAACTTTTAGTGTTTAACCAGGGAGATGAAGGAAAATCTTGGTACATCATTTTGAAGGGCTCAGTCAATGTGGTCATATATGGCAAGGTCTGTATTGATTTAAAAAAGAGAGAACTTGTTATTCAAAGAGAGGTAACTCTTTATCTGACAGCAATTTTATTAAATTCTTGCCAAATTAAAAAGATATCAATGCAAAAAAAAATTTGCAAAATTCAAATTTATCAAAGACATTTTCTCATCCAAGTATTAATTAATTATTCATCCAATGATAAGACTAGTAATCTGTATTCTTTTTAAGTTCATAAAGAGGAAGGTTTGTACGGAAGACAATATATTTTGTAGGGTGCTGTTTGTACCCTCCATGAAGGGGATGATTTTGGGAAGCTGGCTTTACTAAATGATGCTCCTAGGTAGTGTACTTTTTCTGCTTTGTCATTGTCTCTCATGTTTTATAAATACCTGTTTCAAATTTATTTCAAAAATTGTATCGCATCAATGCAAACATCTTATAAACCATGAATCAGTAAAAGTGAGTATAATAAAGGTACATGTAATTTTTTTCAATCTGTACCTTACTAACTTAATTATCCTTGAATCTGCCCTATTTGTTATCCCCAGCATCTCTTTACAGGGCAGCCACCATCGTGTTGAGAGAAGACAACTGTCATTTTCTCAGAGTTGATAAAGAGGATTTTAACAGGATATTAAGGGTAAAATGATTTATTCAAACAGAAACAAATATTGTAATAATTTAAGTTTTAGTATATAGAAGTCAGAGAGAATTTAAGATTTAAAAAGATAACAGATACCATATAAATAGAAATTTTAGCGAGGATTTAATTTTGGCATTTTTAGTGAGGGTATTGAGATCGCTAAAATTGACTATCGCTAACAATTCATACTGCATTGGAGGTTACCATTGTCTATCTAGGCGTCATTAAATCGCTAAAATTACTTCTTGCTTAAAATACTTATTTTTAAGGACAAATTGCTAAATTTGCATCTTGCAAAAAATTCCACTTAATATATGGTATTGTATACAGGCACTAGTATTAGTGAAAATAGAAAAATGTTGACATTTGGATAAAAAGTTTGTATTTTAAATTTTTTTTTTTCAGGATGTAGAAGCAAACACTGTGAGATTAAAGGAACATGGGCAAGATGTCCTGGTTCTTGAAAAGATTCCCACAAAATCCCAAGCAGCAGATGGAACTATGCAATCACACTACAAGTAAGAAACACTTTAAAAAGGCTAATGTCAGAGGGTGATTGCACTTTGTAGTGTAAAATGCCCTTGGACATTCCTCCTTGACCTAGGCTGTTTTTGGTTTTCTGTGTAGAAGAGGTATAAAACAGTCTCAAATGAGACTTGAACCCAAGGCCTCTGGCACACAGGACCATTGCTCTAGTCCATTGTACTCCAATAAAATTACTACTGTGTGAATCATACAAAGAGAAATAATTCAACTTAGTCATGGCTTATTTCAGGTATTCAGTTATGGCAGGTACTCCAGAGAAGATGCTGGAACACCTACTGGAAACCAGACTAGACAATACAAAATCTGAGGAAACCACAGGTCAGACTCAATAATGATTGGTCAAAGCTACAAACTGACCCTTAAATTTTACTGTAGTTGATTGTGAATGCTGATGACTGTTAAGTGTATTGTTAATGAATTTTCAGACAGCTTCCTGGAGGACTTTCTTTTAACTCATGTGATATTTATGCCAACAGAAAAGCTCTGTCCAGCATTGCTCTCATAGTATCCTTTTATATCTCTGTTAAGAATTATAGTGGATATGCTGTAAGTAGCTACCCAAGTGAAACTTTTAACCGATTTTTATTCATGTTCAAGAAATGTCCATGAAATTGCGATCTTGCCCTACTCGTGAATATTTATCACTGCAAACTATTTATTTCGTCGTGGATTTATTTAGAATATTTCCCAAGATGAGCCTAAGTCACGTAAATAAGTCATCATGGATACCGGTAGATTTCAAACTGAAAAGTCATGAATAAAAGTTGTCACAAATAATAGTTGGTTTACGGTACTTGTATAACCTGTGTCGGAACAGTTTATGCTTTTTTTTATAACCCCTTTGGAGTTTATAAAGTGGTAAACTGCCACAACCCAGGTTATACAGTATACCTTGGGTTGCAGTTTCTCATAGGAAAGTTATCAATTACATTCAAACTACTTGTAGATGTATAGATTCAGAGAGTGGCTTTCCTTTACACTGAATTGAAGCATTATTTCAAAGATCTTTTTTTCAAAACAATATTTTATTCACAAAAGTGAATGGAATTGGGCAGCAGACAGGGTCTATTTTAGCCCTCTCCCAATTTTGTTTTAAGCCCTCTCACAAATTTAAGTTTCTGGAGCAGGTTCATTCTCAAGTAACTATAGGCCATATGCTGACCAAAGTTGCACAAAAGATGCATTTAGGGATGCAAATTGCTAGAAAATTTATTTGGTGTGAGTTATGATGGATAACATTTGTCAAGGTGAGCTTTAATCTCGTAGTCTATGCTTTGCTTTATATTTTGCATATACATGTAGAAATAACATGTTAGTGTGTTGAGTTTAAAATGTTTGTTTTACCACCCACTATATTTACAAATGACATGCATGTATACAGTCTCCATGAGTGAGTTTTCCCTTACACTGTGTATAAGTTATGATGCCAAGTCCCTAAAGACGGAGGAACAGGATGCTGGAGACTATGGAGTGACCCAGAAAAGAAGTGTCATACAATTTGTACATGAGTGGCACAACCTGGCCAGGGACATTTTTAATGAAGAAGAGCAGATCCAGGCTTTTCTACAGGTAAATCTTCTGGCTGTAGATCTGTCAGTGTTGATTGGCTTCAAGAAATAGTCAGAAATCATTTATAACAGAGATTAGATTTGTATAGTTTATCCTACTTAAATTAATATTTAATATTCCTTTATGTCGATCTGGAGTGAGTAAGACAGCATATAGAATTCATAGCAGAAAACAAAACCAAATATCCTAATAATCTTTCATATGGTTTCATATACCTGTATCTAAATCCTTTAAGAGTTTAGTATATAATTATCTTCATGATTGTATATATTGATTATTACACTTTTTGATGTAAAATGAAAATATGAGTTTTCTTCCTCTTTATTTTTTTTCTGTTGGTCATTTGTAGGAATTACACAGTTATGTGGATGAAGACTGTGCTTGTTTTCCTTCCCTGGCTTCAGAACTAACAGTATTGGAGAGCATGATGACATGTATGAAGGGGTAAGTACAGTGTCCCTATGACAGCTTGATATCTGTAAAATGTACGTCAGAGTAATGGTCTGGGAATCATTTTTGTAACTTGTTATTTTTGGCTTTGCTTTATCATTAGGAGGTTAAAAAAACTCATGTTGCAACTTCTACTCAGTATCAGTACATAAAGCTGTTTTCCATTTGTTACCTCACTCCGTCGTTCTCAGTAAAGGAGATTAAAAATATTAATATTGTAACTTCTTTCAGGTGTCTCATTTTATTTTTTCAGTTATCAGTATATAGAAAAGCCTGAAGTAGGCAAGCGAAGAATTTCTCCTAGTGTAATGCTAACAAAGAAGATGGCCAATGAATTATATATAGACAGCATTAACAAGAAAGAGCCAATCAAAGCCACAGATGAAAGTTAGTTACTGTTGCATATTTTAAAATCATGTCAATAGCATGAGATCCCATATGATAAACAGGATAAATATATTATAAACAATTTCTATAAATTTTTAAGCAATGCAGTTTAGTAAAGTTGATACAGAGATACCAATTATAAACAACTGAGTTAATGCAAAACAAACTTGCTAAGTTCATGTTTGAGAACACTTTTTCTGGTATTGTTAATTGCACAGGTTTTTACATATATTGTATGTATTTGTAGATATAGTCAAGATTTATTGTGCGGACCACACTTACAGCACTCTACGTCTACCAATGAACTCCTCTGTGTACACACTCATAGAGCATGCTCGGGAAAAACTCGGACTTGGTTCAGATGATCTTGTTCTTTGTGAGATAAAATCCTCAGGAGGTAAAAAATTACTAAATGTCTATCTTAAACTGCATAAAGAAAGGTGTTTAAGTGAAATGAGCTGAAATAAAAGTCTGGGATATCAAGGATTTCCTGATATTGAGGTTAAAATACATTAGGAAAAAGAGGCTTGAATTTCCAACTCACATCAACATATCAGTAGTAGACGACAGAAACATGAGAGTGAGCTATAATTATGATTCCACTACATTTATTAATCCTTATTAGAAGTAATACATAACTTGTAGTAAAGATTCAAAAGGTGCATACGTTTATTTTATGTTGCATATTTGTAGATAGGGTTGTCTATAAAGAAGAAGACCTCTGTGTAACAACAGGTCTGAGTCTAAATGGTCTCTTGTTCATCTCCCCCAGGAAACACTTAGATGCTTTAGTAAGTACATCAATGTTCATTTGCAAACTATTGGATACATGTAGTTATGTTCAATACTTTTAAACATAAACAATCTGGAACATGTTTCTTGTGAGTAGCATGACTCAGATAGATACTGAATGTTTAGATACTGAAACATAATTAATTTTTCAGTAATGTAATTTCAAAGTTATTTATACTTTCAAGAAAAATTAACATGAGAAACTCTCCAAGCTCAATCCAGAAATATTTGCTTATATTTAGTTTATATGTATCCATAATTAATTATACTGTAAAATCTGCACTGAGTAATCGACTATAGTTTGGAACCTCTGTGGATAAACAACTCTGAAGTTGTTAGAGGCTATGAATATAAATTATTTTCAATGTTCCCATCCAATTCTTGTTGATTTATAATGATATGAGAGTTTTGTTGATTGATGATGATGAGTTATCTTCCCTGATTACAGACTCCCCACCCTGAACAGGAGGGACCATCCATAGGGACTGCCAACACCCTGGAACTTCTCAGCACAAAAGAAATAGCATATCACATGACATTACATGATTGGCAACTGTTTATATGTGTACAAGAAGTAAGTATCTTCAATAAACACAAATAAAGGCTGTTCAAAAAATTGTCTGTGGGGGTTGTTGTAAACTTTTAAAATTATTATACCCCCCGCAATCGAAGTTTAGGGGGGGTATATTGGAATCACCATGTCCGTCTGTCTGTCCATCTGTCCGTCTGTCTGTAGACGAGATTTTGTCCAGAGCATTTCTCGGAAACTATTGCATAGATTTGTCTGAAAATTTGTACACTTATTATTCACCATATGAAGGTGTGCACCTGGTATTTTCATCATGATTGAATAATTTTTCTGCATTTTACAAGTGTTTTTTCATATTTATTATGTGGTTTTGTCCTGACCTTTTCTCAAAGTCTATTTCATAGAATTGTATGAAAATTTGTATACACTCATTATTTACCATATGAAGATGTGCACCTGGTATTTTCAACATTGTTTGATAATTTTTCTGCATTTTACAGGGTTTTTTTTTTTTCATTTTTATTGACTTAGTCATTTTGGGTTTATTTCTAAGGTTTGAGACATTGAATCTGGAACATCTGTACAAAAATGTGAACTACAGCTTAAAACTATTCATTAAAACAACAACAAAAAATCATCAAGTATTAAAAACAATTTTTATATCACACAGCAGATAGTGTAAATCCATTTGTCCCTTGGGAGTAATGAGTGGACATGCATCCAGTTAGAGATAAATTAATGAGTTCAGTGTGGGAAGTTGTTAGGGCATCTCTGATCAAGCAGGTCTTATCTATATCTCCTGGGAATTTAAAGATCTCTGTTCTTTAATTCTCTTAATTGTAATTTATTGTCTGTCATAGTGCATAGTTACTGGATGACCAGCCTTTTATTTTTAAAATGAATTTGATATAAAGTTATCAAGATTAATTTGGTTTTGTAATTAATTGATTTTTTTTTTCAACAATCAATTTGCAGTGTCATGTCTCAAAAAGATGACAGATAGCTGCAATTTATTTTTTCAATGTATTAAAAAAAAACAATGTAATTACAATGTATTGGTATTGATGTTTTATTAGGTTGTTCCTTGGTTTCATTCATTAAAAAAATATAATGAGCAATTATTTTTTCACTCTAAATGTTTATAAGAAAATTGTGAACACCTCTTATATCCATAAAATATTAGTGATTTGGCACCTCTGAAAAACCCAGCGGGGGGTATTTGTCCCTTTTGGACAGTTCTAGTTTCATCTTCTTCTCCAAAACCAGTGGGCCAGTTTCAATCAAACTTGGCACAAAATAGTCTTGGGTAAAGAGAATTCAGATTTGTTCAGCTAAAAGGCTATGGCCCCCTTCCAAGGGGAGATAATCAAGAACAGGCAAACATAGGAATGCCTCATTTAAAAATCTTCTCAAGAAACACTGGGCCGGAAAAGATGACACATAGGAAAGCTTCTTGACGTATATGTATTGTAGATTCAAGTTTGTTCAAATCACAGCCATTGAATAGGGGCATAGCAGGGGATAAATTTTTACATTGAGTATGTAGAAGGAAAAATCATTAACATTTTGCTTCTTAAGATCAGCAGGACCATAATTATTGATATCAATATACCGGTACAAGGATCCTCAGGTAGTGCATATTCAAGTAGTTTGAATCATGGCACAATAGGGGATTGTGAAGATTCATATTGATCAAGCCATTTCCCCTGAAACAAGGGTGATGCTGAGAAAGGGATTCCAAGTTTTGCACAAGATTTTTGAGGGAATTAAGATTTTTCATGGAAATAAAAAAGGATAAAATCTGAAGAGCAGGAGAGCCAAAGTAACCCAGGTGAATGTTGAGGCCTATGGGTCTCTAATTTATGAAAACAGAATAATTTTTGAAAAATAGATAAGACTACAAAAACAAATTTTTAGTTTCTCCTTCCCACCTGTGCCTCTCAAAGAGTTCCACTCCATCATTTTTTTTTTATTTCGGTTCAGAAATTAAAAAAAGGAAAGAGATTATATTAAAATAGAGAAATGTAATCAGGATACCAAAAAAAAAAAAAAAAAATCAGAACATAAGAGCACATTAGTATTCCAAAATTAAAATGGTTATTAAAGCTACATTTTTTAGGCACATTGACATCATTGATTTAAAAAAAATCTGAGTTTTTTTTTTTATCGAAAAGGAATTATATGTGTATTTCAAAGAATGAAATATGAAATCCATCAACAATCCCACTTTTTCTGCAAGTTAAGATGAAAATCTAAATATTAAGTTTATGTGGCCTAGCTTAGATAATCCCCATATTTCAAATATGAAAGAAAAACCACCCTTCAGAATGTTTAAGATGCGAATTGTTAGCAAATTGTTACTTAATCTATTTGTAATTATTATGCAAAAACCAAATTTCTGAGAATGGGTAGCAGCCATATTATACATTTTTCATTGTTACAAGTTTATGAATTTAAAGCTCTACTGCTTTAAACAAAGTTTGTAGTAATGATGATGGATTAAAACATGGCTTGATGATTTTGAAGCCTTTTCTATTTTTGGCTCACCTCAATGTGTTTGCGCTATACCTCAATCATTAGCATCGGTGTCCCAGTTAAAGTTTTAGAAACAACTCCATTCCCCAGTAGCTATAAGCCCTACATGGACCAAACTTGCATGGATGATGCATCTAGGGATGCACACTATCACGCATGCTTTAGATGCTTGATCTGACCTACATTTTCTGGATGATTGACCAGATTAAAGTTTTAGGAGCAGGTACATTCCAAAGTAATTATAAGCCTTATTTGGATCAAAGTTGCGTGGATGACAGATGTAGGCATGCTCACTACCAGACTGTTTTTCGGATTCTGGATATCTTGACCTACATTAGACCAAACTTGCTTGGAGGATGTATCTAGGGATGCAAACTACAAGAATTGTTTCAGATGCTGGATCTGACCTACATTTTCTGGATGAGTGAACAGATCAAAGTTTTTACAGCAGGTTCATTCCCAAGTAACTGTGGATGATGCACACTACTATATTTGCTTCGGATGTTGGATTTAACCTAAATTTTACTACCAGACTAGCTTCATATGCTGGATCTGACCTACATTAATTGAAGCAGGTTGAGCTGATCCTTTCAAGTAACTTTTTGTCCCATTGTGACTGAACAAGCATTGTTATGCATGTTACTATAAGGATGCACACTATCAGATATGCTTTGGAAGCTGGATCTGGCCTACATCTACAGGGTTGTTTACAGTTAAACTTTTTGGAGCAGTTTCATTTTCAAGTATCTGTAGATCCTACTTAGACCAAACTTGTGTAGTTGTTGTATATTACCAGAACATTCATTTGGTGTGAAATTCAGTCTTACTTTTTGACAACATTTGTTGAGGTGATCTTTGTAATCTTTGATTACCTATGTTTTAGTACATGTATAAGTTTTCTTTAGGTTGTAACAAAACTCTTTTGTATTTTTTCAGTATGAGTTAATATATCAAGTATTAGGAAGATCCAACTTTAACAAAATTACAGCAAATTTAGATCTGTTTTTACGTCGATTCAATGAAGTACAATACTGGGTTGTAACGGAAATGGTTCTTGCTCAAAATGTGGGAAAACGAGTCCAGCTTCTACGCAAATTTATCAAGGTTGCAGCACAGTATGTATGCAGCTATTTACAACTTTATGAAAAACAAAATAATTGATGGCAAAAAAAATGCTTGTTTCTAAAAGAATTTGGTTTAATTAATCTAAAAAAGAATTTTCAAACAGTAGAATTTTAGTTTGAAATTTAAAAAAATAAATAGATACATATATTATGTTAATATATGTGGGTATGATTCTCTGTTTCAGCTGCAAAGAGTTCCAGAACTTGCACTCATTCTTTGCCATAGTAATGGGACTCAGTAACATTGCTGTTAGCAGGCTGTCACAGACATGGGAGGTAACTGTATTTAACTCTACACCATTGATTAACATCAAACAAAAATTGATTTAAAAAAAAATAGAAATATGTGGTAAAAAATCAAATAAAATTTGATGTACATCAATTTTCTAAGAAAAATGGGCATAACTCATCATTGCTGTGAATTTTGTGCAATTTTTCTAACCTGAAGATAGAGGAAGTAAATAAACTCTATAGAATGGCATTTTTTGAAATCGAAATATAGGTCAAATTTTGTCTATAAACTCTTAATGTATTTATTTTTCATTGCATTTAGTACTGAATTACTAAAACTAAAACATAATCTAAAGGATTTTTTTTTTCTTCATCTAACTCTGAATTCACTGACCATTATGTTTAAAGTTAACATTTCCAAAAATTACGAAACAAATCTAAACATCCATCTCATATTGATATCATCTATGAGAATAAATGAACTATTAAATAAGATCATATCAAAATTTTAAACCAGATTATGCTACTTAGAAAAAGAAGAAGTTTTCTAATTTTCTCAGGAAAATATTGGATGGATTTAAAGAGTTATGCCCCTTTCTATAGTAATTTCCATAGGAAATTAAATCATGCGAAATATCATGCTTTCCCCTCATTTGATTTTTTCTAGACTTTTAACTACATATATTTCAAATATACTAGAACTTTTTAATCACAAAATAATTTCTGTTGCAGTTTAGTCTGAGGTTGAGCCAATTTTTTGAGCTATATTCACTAGAATTTTTAATTATTTCCTACAGCCACTCAGTTAAAGTGTGAATTATTCACTTAGAGTTGTTTGAGTTGTAGACAAATTACATGATAATTCATGATGTCTAAGAATAATAATTTCTTTATTGGAATCTTCTAAGTTTATGTACATTTCAGAAACTGCCAGGGAAGTTTAAGAAGATGTTTGCCGACTTTGAGACATTGATGGACCCCTCACGAAATCACCGAGTATATAGACTGTCTGTCTCCAAGCTTACCCCACCCATCATTCCATTTATGCCATTACTAATGAAAGGTTCCACATTTTAGTGAAAATGTTACAAATTCTTTTGAAAGAAAACATGTACAGATTTGTGCTTTTTCATTCCAAGAAATAATTCATTTTGTCTTTTTGACATCGATCATCATCATGTGACTGAAATTAAGTTAAGTACTGACTTGTCATTAATTAATCATGGTTAGTCTTTAAAAAACTTAGTAAGTCACAATTTTTCCATTGTAGATTTGACATTTACCCATGATGGCAACAAAACCTATTTTGATGGATTGGTCAATTTTGAGAAAATGGTATAAAAAAATTACTATACCTCATTATAATTATTCTATACAATGTGTTATCTGCTTGGTTCTAGATTATACTGTGACAGGGCCATGAAACTGTAAATTGTTTCAGAAACACTACGTTAAAATTGAAAGTGAATTTAAGAGCAGTTCCAAATTTGGAAGTTTATGTTTATTTTTAAAGTTTTTGCTTGTTTCGGTATAATAAACAATTTATTTCCTGATCATGAGGGAAACATGAAGATTTATTTAGCCAAGAAATATCATATTCCCCTCTGTCGAGGCCCACAGGGAATATGATTTTTCTTGGCTGAATAAATCCTCATACATGTATTTCCCTCATGATCAGGCAATAAATGTATAATAGTCAAGAGTCTTTCAAGGAATATTATATATGAAAAGCTACAAGTTGCATATTTCAGGTTAGAAACCATTCTTGTAAAATTTATCAACTAATTAACTCTCTTAGACTTATATGTATTGAGAAGATTTCTGATCATTTCTGTCACACTTAGTAATTAATTTATTGACATTTAAGAAAGATCTCCTTTTTTCTTTCAGCACATGATAGCTCAAACAATGAGGAATGTACGCATTTGTCGGAGTCGAAGATTAGGTACAGTGTTTACTCTTTTGACATACATGTACAAAATTGGGAGGGATCTATACAGCTAGCAACATTCTGGCCGCAAAAAAACTGCATTAATGTTCCTACACTTGGTTTAATGTAGGAAATTCACCCAAAGGAAAAGTTGACAATTTCAGGTGGACCTAATATTTACCTGTATAATGCATATAATTTAATAGGGAGGTTTACAAAAAGGGGAATGTTAAATGTAACTTTGTATATTTAGCATAACTTGAATGTTGATTGGAAGACATATTGTATAACGCACGGTTGTGTCCAGGATATAACTGTTATTATCTTAAGCTTAGGCTAACGATTTTTGGCCTGCAGGTATATATCATTTTACAGCTTCTTAACTTTTTGCAGAGTAGGATTTACTAGTTCATTTGACCAAGGAGGCTTAGCTGTGCCATTACTTTATCTTTTAAACAAGGCTTAAGATATTTGGCATATAGGCACATTACAATCATGACCCCCATGTGGCCTTGAACTTTGACCACAGAGTCAAGGCTTATGATATTTGTTATGTGGATAGATAAACAAAAGGTCATCACTCACATATACTCCTGATCCTTGACCTCAGAATCCGGTTAATTTTTGCTTGCAAAAGAGCTTTTCTTCCTGGTCCAGAAGTTTTTTTTATTATATAGTTTTCAGTTTTGGCATATGGAGGTCACGGTAAGAGGATGTAAGATGTGCCATCATTACCAGAATTAAAAATTGAACTATACTATTATGTGTAGGAAAAAGGGGTTAAGATTTTATGGAAAAACCTTTCCAGTTGCCAAACAAGTAACATTCTTTGTTGAAAGATGTTTTTATGCCATATACAAAACAGAATGCCATGCTTAGTTTAATTTCTTTATTTGATTTTTAATGATATTCCAGATCTTGAGCCCCCAACAACAGCCAAGTCATCCACAGAGGTTCAAGATTATATCAGGTTAGTCACTGTGATAAATTTATATCTTTAATACAAATGCATTTTACAGTGCATCATTAAAGCACAACACAAAGATTGGATATTAATAATTTCTTTAATATTTATATGCTTTGTGTTTAAATTTTCAGAAATTTGCAAGTTATAGACAATCAACGAGTTCTAACTCAACTTTCTTATAAACTCGAGCCTAGACGCACGTGAAGGAATGCTCACAATAATGGATCACAAATCTGAAGTGCAATTCTTTCTTGTGTTACATACTCAAGAACAGCAACTCAATTGAAAGTGAAATCCACAAGTGTTAATCAAGACTGATCTATAAGTATTATTTTTACCCGGTTTCTAATGTTGTGCAAACCAGAGTGCTATAAAGATGTAAATATGAAATATTTTTCATATCGAATGAATGTATAACTGGCTTAGTGTCCTGACAATCAAATAAATCTATTTTCTACTCATGAAAATCAAATAATTTTCTATAGGTTAATGGGTTAGTAAGAAAACTAATATGTAAATTGCAGTACTGAGATACAGAGATTATGCTGTTTATGAGTTTGAAACTGGTGTTTTAAGTTTGCTTTTTTCCCATTGGCACCAATCATTGTGCTTATAATGAATGTATAAATTCATGCATGTCTTCAAAATGTGCATTTATAAATGGCTTTTTAACATGAAAATGATAACACCACTTTTAGAATTCTTAAATTTGTTGACAAATACAAGAATATCAACACCATTAGTTATTTTTCATGTATACAGTTTCTTATTACTGATAACAAGGAAAATAACCTCAAGCAAACTTTAACACTATATATACAATGTATTTTCTTAGCTGCCTAAAAAGATGTCATGTTTTGATCTCATAAGAATCTATTCCTCTGGTTCTTAGGCTTTATTAAATGAAAACATGCACAAAAATCATACCTTTTTCAGAATATTAAAAAAAATTGAGATATATATATATTTTTTAAATCATAATTTTGTTTACTGAAGCTGCTATCATTCAGAAGAACTTTTGTGTCAAACTACAATAGCATTTGAAAATGCTAGAGCTCTCAAAATGATGTTTATGTGAATAAATTACCATAGGAAATGTCTGCTCTAATTCTTGGTGAAGAAATTTAATAATATAATTGACAGAACTTTAATAGTAGCAAAATGTCTGGTGAATATAAAGAATATATTAAAGTCCTCATTTACTGCATTACAGTGAAAATCTCCTAGAACCCAGTCAATGAAAAATTATAATATATTGTCAGTGTTCATTAATAAACACTTTATACAATATAGATTAAAATATTTTATGGTGTTTTTTCTTTTATTATTTTCACAAGACGAGAGCTTTGTATTTATTCACAAGATACATACATAATTTTACATACCCTCTATACAATGATATGAGTTACAGTACCCTCCATACAATAAGAGTTACTTCCCATTGTAATTATGAGTATTTTATTTTTTGCTCACCTTGACAAATTTGAGATGAGCTTATTCTATACCACTGACTTATTGTTGGTGTCCCAGTTAAAATTTTTGGAGCAATTCCATTCCCAAGTACGTGTAAGCCCCACCCAGACCAGACTTGCATGGATGAGGCATCTAGGGATCTGCACAACCAGACTTGCTTTACATGCTGGATCTGACCTTCATTTTCCAGGTGAGTGACCAGGTTAAAGTTTTAAGAGGAAGTCCATTCCCAAGAAACTATAATCTCTATGGTGACCAACCTTGCATGGAAGATGAATCTATAGGGATGCAGACTACAAGAAATGCTTTGGATGCTAGATCTGACCAACATTTTCTATATGAGTGACCAGGTCAAAGTTTTTTGAGCTGCTAGGTCCATTCCCAAGTAACTGTAAATTCTATTGTGACAATACTTGCATGGATGATGAATCTGGGATGTGCACAACCAGACTTGCTTCAGATGCTGGATCTGACCTACATTTTCTGGAAGATTGAAAAGTTCACGTTTTTGGAGCAGGTCCATTCCCAAGTAACTTCAAGTCCTGCCCAGACCAAATTTGCATGGATGATTCATCCACAAATGAACATTACCAGAACAGTCATTTTTTGTCAAACTTTACTTTCTAGATCATATTTGTTGAGGTGAGTTTCGTAATCTACTTATTACTTATGTTTTCATGCTAGTACAAACGTGAAACTCTCTTAAGGAAACTCTAAACACTGCTCACTGAAGAGTTCTATATCGATGGTAGTTTTATACATTTAGAGTGATCTGCCCTTTAATGTAAAACAGAATAAATGGAAATCTATAGCAAATGACACAATATGGAAGATTAAAGTACCTGTATTCTTGGCATTTATTAGACCAAGATAAAGTAATTGAAAATGGTTATTTTCATGTTTTTTCCAAATGTATGTCAACAACAGTGATTTCTGTTCACTAATACTTCATTGTCTTTGAACAATTTTCCTGGAGATGTTGAAAATGAACTAAATAAACTCAGTACGCACCTTTATATGATTTAGTTTATCAAAGTCCAAAAAACATTTTTTGTGATTTTTTTGTAATTGATTAGAGCTTTATTAAATAGAATGTAATTGATTTTATTGAAGTTATTTGTATTTTTATCAATTGAAACCATATTAACTGGTAAAAATGGGGAAATGTACATTTCTGAAAAAGAATTGAATTTTTCTTTGTGCTGTTGAGCACACATCCATTTAATTCTAATCAAATGTTCTTAGAATACTTGATAAAATTGTTAGTAAAGAAGTATGTTTGGAAATTTAGAAGTTTTTAAGAACTGTTTCTCCTGTATCTTCCATCTTTCTGTAAGTTTCAATGTCCAGGATCACTGCTATACCTCAAACTCTAAAGTGCCTACTGTAAGTTTAGAAAAAAAATTATATCTATATTTCAAAAATGGTGATCACTCGATATTTCCTGCTGCAATTTATTAATTTATCAACCATACTTTTTCAGTGTTTAATGTTATTAGTTTTCCAAAAAGGTATGTCTTGCCTGTTCATGTGGGAATCAAATTGCTCAAAGACCACAAGGGAACTTGTATCTTGTTTTAATTTGGTCATCCTAAATGCCATTCAAAATAGTTATGGTATTGTTGGAAGTCTTGGAGTAGATAAATCATTTTGTGTGGTAAATGGTGATCAATGTTTATTAGTAAATTGCTTCATGTAATTTATTGATTCTGATTCTTGCATACTTAAGAGAGGTTTTTGATCTCACTTGAAAATGCACCATGACAGTTTAACAGTCTCTAGAAATTGGTCCTAAAGATAGAAAAATCTTTCGCTCTTCTGTAGTTGATTTTAGTTGTCTCTTCACTGAAGAAAATGCTCCATTTTGTTTTCATGGCTTCAGATTCTAATTCACATCGAAACTTGTACATATCACACATTTTTTGTCAATCTAAAGCACTAATTAGAAGTGTGTTTTGTTATTGTATTTTCTAGATGATTTTTTTTTCTATATCTGTAAACCAAAGAAATAAACAAATATATTTGAAAATACAGAAATGATTGTCTTGTTTTTTTTTTTTGTGGAATCGTCATCATCATTGTCTGAAGACAAATGTTCATGGATTTTGTGGATCATCCTTACCCACAATTTAACATCCCCATGAACAATAAGTCAAAGATCAATTCATCGAATCATCTCTATATACAAGTTCAACATGAAATTATGTCCCTTTGAACCATTAGAAATTTGGTTGATCATTTACCCCCACAAATTAAAATGATTCCATAGTAAACAAATTTCCTTAGAAAGTTGCAACATCTAAATTTAAAGTGGAATGATCTGTATTTTTTCCTTTATTTCCATTAAAAAATATCATTTTCCATTAAAAAAAAGTATCAAAGGCGTTTTAACTTTTATGCCATGTTATAATGATTCTGTAAAAGTATTCAATAACCTCAGATCTCATGGACAAAAGGGAAATCATGAAGTTTAATTTGACAACAAAATGGTCTGTTGACCCCCCCTCTCTATCTCTCTATCATAAAAAAACTAACTGGGTATGAGCAGAACATTTTACAGAGATTTCATTTTCAAAAGAATTTAAAATCTTGATACATTATATGGGGTCATCTATAAAATAATGTTTGTTTGCTCTCTCCCGACTCAGGATAAAAAAATTGGGTCAGTATGGGGGGGGGGGGGATTTTTTAAATGTTCAAAATCTATTAAAATTGAAGGTTTACTTATAAACTTAAAAATAGGTTGATGGGATGAGAGAGTTTTGGAATGAATAAAATAAGTATTAAATCATTTTCTGGAGGTTAAAACTCTTCAGTCTAGCCATTTTTAGCCAATCAGGAGAGGGCAGGCAATTTTTTACGATGGCCTGATCAATTGCAATGTATATATATCAATAACATTTTTAAATTGCAACACATCATCCAAAATAAGTAATTACAGACCACATCACTTTAATTTATATCTTTTGTGTAGCAAAGATTGTTCAGACCTACTTTTATAACAATTTAAAGAATTTTTTAATAGTAAACAATTTATTCAAATTAAAACAGAGAATTGTACACGTGACATTCTTCTTCAATAAATATATATGAACTTAGCACAATTATTATATCACAAAAGTCTGGACGGTTTGTCAGTATAACTATACAATATGCAGAAAATTTTGCTTTTGTAAAGCATTTTCAAATAATCTGTTCTTGCTGGAATGGTTTTCATCACCACGGATAAATAGTCACTTCCACACTGTGCCTTTCTTATTCAAGGAGTGATTTTGAAATGTTAGTGGTCTATGATGGTGATGTGTTACACCATCCCAGGCTTGGCATACATGGGGAGGTGGTAGTAGTTGTAGCTTAGGAAACTGAGGAGGCGTGTCTCAACTGCTCGCTTTGAGCCACTGGACGCGTATATTTCTAGCAACTGCTTTTTCTGGGACTCATTCATCTACAAAGAAATGGATTGGGAATTTGAATTGCATTATTTAATTTGCTAGGCATATGAATATGTAAATTAAATTCTTTACACTGTATTATATACACATGGCATACTATTAAATTTACAAAACTTGACACAACCTGATTCTGTTTTTTAATTCTATAAAATGTCTTATATAGACTTTTTACTGAATATGCATGGCATACTATTAAATTTACGAAGCTTGACATAATCTAGTCCTTAATTACTTTTTTTATTCTATAAAATGTCTTATATAGACTTTTTACTAAATACACATACTATTGAATTTATGAAGCTTGACTTAATCTGGTGCTGCTTTTTTTATTCTATAAAATAACTGATATAGATCGACTTACGGGGACATCTTCATCCACTACCTCTCGGACTTTATCTTCAATGGAATCAATTCCGACACCCTATAAAAATGAGATTACTGAATGAAATTTACTCAAAATTTAAGATACATTTATTTATCTATCTTAAATCATTTCACGTGGATATTATTATAACTGGTTCCCATACTTACTGCGCTTGTGACCAGAAGCTCTCTAACCTCATCCCTGAAGTCAGAGAATCTGTCATGGTACAGGGCAAGGCTCCAGGTCTCTTTAAAGAACCTGAAAAACACAATGCATGTACTTAGAAATTGATCTTGGTGGGCATTTAAAATAGAGGATATGTGTTTCAACAAAAATGACTAACAATTATCAACTTCATGGCAATTTTTAAAATTGAAAATGAATTTTGCCTCATCTATGCTTAAGACTGATTTGCATATACATGTACAGAGTTTTAAAGTACATTATTTTTATGTCAACTTACTCATAGAAGTCTGGAATGAGTTTTTCATTAAAGCGAGACACCATGTTGTTCAAAAACCTTTCATGCAGTCCGTACAAGCAGATGAAGTTTTCACTTGGAAAAGGCTAATAAGAACAATAAATATATACATTATAATTTACAACAAAATTCAGAAAAATATTTAAGTGTATGATCAAATTATTATTAGCAACAATAAAAAGCAAAATAAAGATTAAATGTTCTGTGGCATCTTCCAAATATAATTTTTCAACATTCAAAAAACTTATTTTCATTATATAAACTTGATTTTTTTTTTTTTGAACAACCAATGTCATCAAGATGTCACTCTTTCATGGGAATGGTCAAATGTAATAGATTTTTTTTTACATTGTGGCTAGTGTCAGGTAGAGCAATATCTGGCAGTATCAATCCTAGCATACTGGGCCAACAATCACTATATACCCTCGAATCTTCGATTACAGAGGCATAAAAATGTTTTGATTCATGTACTCTGACTGACCCATCAAAATAGGCCTTCCCCAACAATTTTTCAATAATTTATTTATTTATTGGTTTCTGGGAAAATATAGATCATCTGAATTGCTTTTAAACTTGAGGTTCTACACCCCCCCCCCCCCCCATTTTTTCCTGCAATTTACAAACTTCATCAATGAAGTTTAAGGTAAGATTTATCATAGAGGGAAAAAAGTGTTAATATCTGTTTATAATATTTATCACTGTGTTAGGTAATTCAATGAAAAAAGTAACACACCTACCTTACCCATCTTGAAAAATATGGGTCACAGAAAATCAACAAAAAATATTTCAAAGATTGCCAAGTTATAATCTTCCTTTATATATTCCTTATTTTTTTCCCATTTAAGCCATGTGTCATTTTAATGCCCCCTATTTCAACCGATTTTATGAAAAGGTTGACAACATGACTACATCCTGTTAGGTAAAATGATTCTCTGAAAATCCTTCCACCTTATTCATGTCAAAAAGTCATGTAGGAACAATCAGAAACATGAATTTGCTTGATTACTGAGGTGCTGCATAAATGAAATGGGAATTTCCCAAACAACGAACATTGCAAGACTTTCTTAATACATCTCCAAATTTGGTCATGAATTGTTGAAGTCATGCAGAAAATGATATTATTGATAGAATGTGTTTAATACATTGATGTTAAGTGTCTTATTCAATTTCCTGACCCAACAAAGTGTTTTCATTCAATACAGTGGAAGGTTTTTATAAATTAAGTAAAAACTATAATGACTTCATAAATTAATTTCAGAAAAAAAAAAGACCATGAATTTGAATTCGTTTTTCCTAATATAAATTTCCACATTTTTATCTCCCCTTGCCCGTGTGACTATCCATAAACTAAGAAAACAGATAAGTATCTATCATGCAAAAGGTATAGGTAATACATCCATGGAACTCTTCAGTTTATTTAAATAAAGTTCTTTCTTTTTTTAACTCTTTACCCTTATTTTTTTTTCAATATATTGCATAATCATGGATGATACATGTATAACATTAGTTGTGATTTTCCTTGGGAAATATTAAAGGGAATCTGATTAATATTTTTGAAAAAGGGTTTCATATATGTACATTACTTTTAAACTTTTATTCTTTTTTTGAATGACATTACAGTGTGATTTAAGAGGCCTGTAGAGCTCACCTGTTTAGACAAACATGTCAGGGTCTCTACATTATTGTACTGGTTGATATGGATCCTGAAGTACTCCGGATCACCTCCTGGGCTACCTGTCATGTACTCCTTTCCCTGTTTAAATACAGTAAAGATCTCTTTTCTCTTTTGTACAATATTTTCACATAAATTTTTAACTATTTTTATGGTTAAAAAAATCTTGAAGTATAAGATAAAATGCCCCTCCCCCCTTCTTTTTTCAAATAGCACTTACATAATCTGGCTGTTCTTTCTGAGTGGCTAATGGAATATCTAAACCTGGTTTGGCAACATGCAGGTAATTGTAGCCACCTATAATATAAATATATCAAATAATTGTGTAAAATGTTAATGGTATGATTGAGAACTCATTTTATTACATCAGGGACCTACCGTAATTACTATCAGGATAGAAAAACAAGTTCTTTTGTGAATCCCGCATATCTCAAATGCCACAGGATCTGTAGTGTTATCAAATATATCACAAAAAACTTTTTAGACCTATTAAAAACTTACTGAAGATTTGTTATTGCACTGTTGAATCCTTATTTGAATAAAATTACAATGTAGTTTAAAAATTAACAGATTCCTATGATGGCTGCATATCAGCTAGAGAATTTGCCTGGGTTTGGTACTTAGTTTTCTTATATTTAGATTATTTAACGTCATATACTTAAAATTATTTAAATTTATCAAAAACAATATTTTTCAATGGGAATAGATGGAATCTAAAAAAAAAAACTTATAAGGGTCCATGTGATGTTCTTGGGAAGAAATCGTGAGGCTGAAGAAGCTCCAAATCCTGTTAGTATATAATATTAATACAATCATGTATGTCCCTGATTGCTTAAAGAGTTTAACTCAGTACCCCGGTAACTTAATACTAACATTCACTACAATTTTGGACTTGATTTATGAAATAAATTACATGTAGAAATACACAATGTAGTACTGCAAAAAATAAGCACTGAAACTTTTTTTCCAACCCTAATTAACCCTATTAAACCCTATATGAGGTGGTGTTGACTATATTGCTTATAATCACTTGAGCTTGACTAGGAAATAATAAAAATATGAAATCAATTTAATGGAAAAATTTTGTACTTAAGATAAATTTTTGCATAACAAATCTCAAATTTCTGCCAAAATCTTTTTCTTTCAAAAGTATTTCCTTGAAAAATTTATAATTGATTTCACATACAAAAGACACATGTACATGTACCAGTATAATCACGAAGGTAATAAATAATTTAATGACTTTGATTGTTATTTATTGGAAATTACATATACATTATCCCCCTTAGTACAAGTAAGATTTGATCAATTACCAGTAATATAATATTGATCAAATCGTGAGTTAGCAATGTCGGCGTTAATTTAAAATTCCATTCTCTTGTATTGATGAGCATTTTCTTCTAGATTGTAATCTAAATTTCACCATGATTAAATACAAATTTCACAATGGGATTCTGCTCAATGAGATTCATTACAAATAGCCCAGGGATAAATGCTGGAGCTGCAGTTTCTAAACACGGTTGTTTGTTATTTGAAAACCATGGAAAATCCAAAACACATTGGATGATAAATAATCCTGTTGGCATCAACAAAGTGTAGTCCCTATATAAGCCTGATTTCAAGAGTCTCTCTGTGTAAGAAGACTGCTTTAGAAAAAAAATATATAGAGAATGTATTTAATTAAGCTTGGGATCAGGTGTTTGAAAGCTAAATGATGGCACCATCAATGCTTTTTTACTTACAACTGTAATGAAAACTGAAAAGATGCTTTTAAAAACAAAACAAATTTTATTCCTTAATACAAGTCTAAAAGAAAACAATTTGATATATGTATGAGAGAAAATATGTACCGTGTAGAACTTGCTTAATGGCTAATGGATAGAGTAAAAACTCATTTTCCTTTGAATATTTTGCAAGATAGGCTTTCCCCTTTGTTTCCATCGTAAGAATTATGACAGGTACTGCAAGAATTGTTTGAGTTACAGCAAAGCAAGTGCACCTTGAGATAATTGAAGCAGATCAATATTTGAAATCTTTAAGTTTTGTGTTTCTTTTGAGTGTTTCCTTCATTACTAATTAGTCTTCAACTGTATGATTATGTCCACTAACAAAGTCAGATAACTTGTTTTCATTTGTTTGTCTTTTTGCAAGATGACTGATAAAAATTATGAATACGGTAGGGTTCTATGAAATTTTTAGGATAAGTTACCTAGTCCCTGATGAAAAATTCTACTTGATTCCAAAGTGAATTGGACTAATGTTGCAGTTCTTGAAGTTTTTGTAAAGATTTTATAAATACGTATTAAAATAGTTTTGGGAAAAGAAGATGCTAGTTGCAGCAAGAAAATTTGTCAAACTCAGAAATGTGTGTTTTGTGACCCCCCCCCCCCCCTTCCAAAAAGTTAATCTTTGCATATGTAAATTTCCATTGAATTATGCCATAATGGTATTTATAGTTTCAGCATATCTAAATATAACTACAGATGAGAGTTTAAAGATAAATAGAACAGTTTTAAATAAAACGTTTATACGTCCTCATTAATTAAGGACACAATTTTTTTTTACCGTAAGTTTTGGGGTATATGTCGATGGGGTATATAGGTCGAAAGGCTCATTTTCAGCCGTAATTTTTAAAAAATCCTTAGATAGGACGAACTCGGAAGATAGGACGAGGCTTTGTTTATCAATTTTCTAGAGATTCTTACGTAGATACTACGTATCAGAACATGTAAACCTCTTTAATTAACCCGTGATATTAACGTATTGATAAAATAAACTGGTATTTTTATGAATACAGCATTTTAATAGTGTTTTATACAAACATAGCTAAAATTTCGTTGAATTGTTCTCCAACTTGCCTGTTAAATGCCGTCGTAGTTTGACTCTGTCGTTAAACACATAAATACGGTAGTATACAACAGCTATAATTAGGGAAATATCCGAAATCAAACAATAATTATTTCTATTTTAGAACATCGTGGACACATTCTTTTATTCCAACATTATTTACCGGGGTACAATATTAACTTCGATGACCGCCATTTTTATATTTCTTGTCCAGGGATTTGCTAAAACACGCAATTGACTATTACATGTAACAGTGAGCAATTGAAATTAATCATATTATCATGCTTTAATTTTGCTTGAGATGTTGTAAAAAATTAATTTAATTGAGAGTACATTCGCAATTTAACAGTCATCATGAATTTCACAGTTTTGTTTGTTCGATGATGTATACTATAGCACTAATACCCCTGTAACGGCACGTGGATCTGTTAATCATGCCCTTCGGGTGTTTAAACCAACACAGGTGTTAACACCTTTGTGTACACAGTGTATATCCCTGTATCTGTCAGACGATGAAAATTATATTAGAAGCCAATCTTTGTATAATACAGTGTACCCCTTGGGATATAAAACAAAATAGTTATGACTAGCGGTGTATTTGGAAAATAGTTTTAGGAATTTACTGGCAACAATTTATTTCACGCATTTTACATTTACCCGTAAATATATATCACAAGACAATGAAAAAATATTTAGGTATACTATTTCAAGTAATCGTTACATATAAATGGTAAAAAAAAAATTACAATTGCGTTTGTGAAAAACTCTTCCGTATTTTAAACTTTGATACGGTTGCGGTTTTATTTTTAGTAAACGATTGCGACTTCCAACTTCACAAGATGGACACAACATGTAAATATACTTTGAGACATTATTTACTAGATGAAATTATAAGTTTTTGGTACATCGACGGATATTTAATGGAACTTATTTTGTAAGAAATCAATGAAATAAATAATTAATTAATTCTTTATTGTTTATTTTTTTCCTCGGGAAAATAACTTTAAAAAATACGAAAAATGGCACAGATTTGCTTTAAAATTGACGTAAATTTTACTGATTTGGGGGGCATTTTTCGTAAACTTGAGCCTTAGATAGGACGATTCGTTAAATAGGACGACCCCAGCGGTTCTGAGAAAAAAAGTATCGTCTTATCTTCCAAAACTTACGGTAATTTGATTCAGCTTTTTGATTAAAAAACAAGAGGCCCATGGGCCACATCACTCACCTGAGCATTGTTGCTAGGAAAAAAGCAAAATCAGTTCAGTTTTGAAAAGCTTAAATACATAAGTGGTCCAGACCTACCCCTAAAAGGGGGTGGGGGTATGCTACAAACATAACTGAATCTACACTAAGTAAAGGATGCTTACTTACCGGTATTTCTTTCACTGACTGTGGCTTTTTTTCCTACAAGTTTGAATTTTCATTGTGGTTACACCCTAACCTCAGAAGTCATTATTTGAAAAAATCTGAATCTACACTATCTGAGGATGCTTCCATATAAATATGACCAATCATGGCTTTGCTGTTCTTGAGAAGAAGATTTTTATAAAATTTCTTCTGTATAGCTTTGATCATCAATTGTGGCCCCACCCTATCCCCATGGGGTCATGATTTTTGAGAAGAAGATTTTTAAAAGATGCCATTAATTTTTCACTAATATGTAATTATCTCCCCTTGGAAGAGAGCCTGGCCCTTCATTCGAACAAACTTGAATCCCCTTCACTTAAAAATACTCTGTGCCAAGTTTGATTGAAATTGGCCCAGTGGTTCTGGAGAAGAAGAGAAATTGTGTAAAGTTAATGACAACAACAATGACAGACAACGGACAAATTTCAATCAGAAAAGCTCACTTGAGCCTTCAGCTCAGGTGAGCTTAAAATCAAATTTTTTTTCTACATAACATTAAATCAAATTACTTTGCATTTTACGATTTACAAAAGATCAGTAGAAAATAGGTCATGCCTGAATGTATACTACATATATATTAAGCAAAATAATTTCCCTGTTTCACACTTGTGAAAAGATTATACCAGATAGCCAAATCAATGTCCAACTAGTTACTTTCATTTTCACCATGACATTTCTAAGAATCATACATAATAACAGATAAATCATATAAATTGCAAAGACTCCAGCAAAAAAATCATCTGGACGCAAATTTCCTAGTGACGACTGTCCATTTTTTAATGACCATGTATTTCAAGGAGATATACTACACACATCAAAATTATAAAAATACAGACAGACAAACAGACCAAGGCTTAATGTTCAAAACAAAAGTCTCAAAGAGATCTTTGAATCTGCTAAGAAGTTAAAATCATCTTTATATTGACATTATCTGTCTAAAAATTTCTAAAAATTCTTCAGATGAGACCCATGACTCAGAGTTTTAATAAAAAAAATTCAATCTGACATCTATAAGTTAGTAATTTTTCTACACTGTATCATTTTTAAAAGAAAAATTAAAATTAGTAATTGAAACCATTTTAGTGAAATAATTTTAAATATTTTTATACCATTTGTGTGTGTGTGTGTGTGTGTGTGTGTGTGTGGGGGGGGGGGGGGGGGGAGGGGGGTTACATGTACACATGGAATATATATTACAATTCTTGTCCCAGTTTTCAACAAAATATACACATAACTAAGATTCTACATGATCCTGGGGCAAGTATGATTTCTAGTGGGAACTCTCAGGAATATATAAATACCTGGTAAAACTCCTCCTTGTATTTTTGGTGTTCTGTAGATGGGTATCAGATTCAAAGCCTCTTCAGGGGGTGCAGTCTGCTGGTCCAATGTGGGATCAAATAGTCGCAACATTTCAGTGGCCAACTGTCAAATTCAGACAGAAATGAAAATTTCAAGTATTTTTAAAGTCATATATGGCATATTTTTGACTAAGTTCAAATAACCAAAATTAAGAATATTTTTCTATTTGATTTATTACTTTATATAAAGATAGGATTTTTCTGTAAATTACACATTTTAAATCAACTGCGTTTCAAAGATATCACAAAATTAAAACAATAACTGATTTATTTGCCGACTCCACATTTAAATAAAAGACAATTAAAGTCAATTTAATCATATAAACGTGAGGTTATTTGAGTAAAAAATCGGTGAAAATTTTAATTTGAACGTAAGTTACATTATATCATGTATATCTATACTCTATCTTGTATTATCATTTTTTAGCTCAGATATGCCATATATAGCTTTAAATCATATTTCTTTTAATTTCAATAGAGAAATATCAAATATATCTCAATATTAAAGTTGTGTACTTTATTTTGATTCAAATTTGCAAACTTACACACTTTGTTAACTTAGATTCAAAACAAGAGTTTAGATGTCAGATTTTTTTTTCTAATATGAATTAGGAATCAGAAAAAACAAGAAGTATGTGAGCCAATGCTCACTAGTAATACCCCCGCTTTGATGCGAATATACACTCTGATGTGAATGTACACAAGTTCAGTTACGGACAGACACAGGGATAAACAGGAAGTTGACATCAGATTGACATTTAATTCAAACAAAAATAAATACCACTATATGGCATGCCTAAACAAACAGTGTTCTAAAATTTCATACATCTGCAATGAGTAATTGCTGAGAAAAGTGCGACAAAAATTTGTTATGTATGGTACAGACAGACACATGGATAAACAGGAAGTTGACATCAGATTCGTACAAAAATGAATCCCACCTTATGGCATGCATAAACAAAGAGTGTGCTAAATTTTCAAGCCTCTGCAATGAGTAGCTGCTGTGAAAACTGCGACGAAAATTAGTTATGTATGGTACTGATAGACACACGGATAAACAGGAAGTTGATATCGGATTCGTACAAAAATGGATCCCACCATACGGCATGCCTAAACAAAAAATGTGCTAAATTTTAAAACTTCTGCAATGAGTAGCTTCTGACAAAACTGCGACCAAAATTTGTTATGTATGGTACTGACAGACGCACGGATAAACAGGAAGTTGACATCAAATTCGTACAAAAATTAATCCCACCATATGGCATGCCTCAACAAAGTGTGTGCTAAAATTTCATTCATCTGCGATAAGTAGTTGCTGAGAAAACTTTGTTACGGACGGACAGACAGACACACAGACAGACAGATACACAAGGGTAAAACAGTATACCCCTTCTCCTTCGGAGCGGGGGTATAATTAAAACAGCATTTTGATTCCAGATTACAATGAAGAATACCTGCAGCATATTGACCAAATTTGTTTGGAAAAATTGTTGGAAATATGTTACTTATATTATAAATGTAAACAATGATCAGATCAAATATCCTATTTACAAATGTAAAAGTCCCATTTTCCGTAACTCTGAAAATAATATCTATAATCTACAGGCTTAATTGCAAATTTAAACAAAAAACTACTTGTCCGACAATATTTTAAGAAATAAGGAAATATACCGAAATAGTTAACTTCCTTAATTTTTTTAAAATATTAAATCAAACCTTCAGCAGATATGTACAACAGAAAGCAGATCATTAAACATTTGGCAAGGGCACAAGTTCATCATTAATGAACCCTGCTAACTGGAACATCAGCAACTTAAATTTGGATCTGTTCTTATAAACAACATGTAGAACTGTAATGGTTGCACGAAAATATAACCATTAATATTGAATGTTAGCACCAGAAATTCTAGTGTGTGAAATAAAAGAAATCTTTGGTGTATAAAACAATAGAGCACCTGTCATTGATTGATGATAAATAACTGTGTCACATATTGGTCCTAAATGTTTGAGGTCTTCTCTCGGGATAGTTGTCACTACACAAAACACTCAAGGCAGAAATCGGGTTGCAAATAATGGAGATGTAGGAGAGATATGTGGTAATTCTAACATTGTATTGAACTGTACGCTATCCAGTCCCACATGGATCAGAGTATCAAAGCCAAACAGCTAAACACGGCTCGTCAATGGCACAGGAAAGTTACGTGACCAAATGCCTCCAGGAAATTTTTAACATGGGACTGAACAACCGTCTTTACTTTTCATTTAGGTAAGTGATTCATTTTGAGATGAAAACCTATGGAGATTTTAGGTTAGTGACTCTTTTTAACTTTTCATATTTTATTCCTTTTTCATTTCCCTACCCACCTCTCTCTCTGATGCAATTGGTACTTCCATGCTTTTCTCAATTTGAACAGAATGATTTTATTCAAAAACATATTGATATCTTAAATATTATGTATAAGATAATCAACATCATGTAAAATTTCATTTTCTTAATGATTATCCATGAAAGTAAGATGTCCAAATATATTATGTGTGTGTGAAGTGTTGCATACAATTAATGATCTGCCAGCTAGAAGTTAACATTTCTGAGCTTTAATATAAATAGTTGCATAAAGATTAAATGAAATTATTCATGTTTTTCTTTCTCTTTTTTGTTAAAAATGTTTGATAATGTAGTTATCTACCATTCTCAATTACTCTAAGTAAAAAAAATATTTACATTCTATTGAAGATTTTGTTAAAATATTTATTTAATTTCTTATTTTTTAAGAATTTCCTTTACTGCCTTTTCTTTAATTTGAGGGCCTTATGCAAACATGGGAGTAAATAAATATAAAAAAATTTAATGGTTATTGAATAGAAAACACGGCAGTTTTATGTTTGAAATTATCATCATTCAGAGCATCTGATAACATCAAAATAGCATCAGTAATAATAATCAGATATAAGGAAGTCCTTAATTAAATGAACTTCAAAAGTTTTCTTCCCTTCCTGTTCACAGCTCCAGAGAAAACTCACAATGTGTAACATGTCACCTACAGCAATAATAAAAAAATGTACGGTAGTAATTTCAATAATTACTTTATTTTTCAGTGTGTGATTATCTGGTGCTAAAATCTGTGTCTATAAAACACAGGTTTCTCTCTCTCTCTGATAGCTGTACCATCACTTCCTAACAATATCACCAGAGAACATATGTACTTTTACTTTTCATGAATTTATCATTATAACTTTAATTTTTACTTAATGTTTAACAACAATCTGTAGGAAGAATTCTGCAACTTTTTTGCTGATTTTAATTTTGTATACATGGATAGTATTTAATCTTGAGCAATACTCTATGACTTCTGGATAAAAATTACACTGGATGAAGAATGTTTCAGTTCTTACTATATTTTTCAAAATAAATTCTATATTTCAAAACAAAATCATTTAATAGCTTTTAATAAATTTTAACTCATTATTTTTAAAATATTCATGTTTAAAAATGTCTTGCATTTCTTTCATTTTTATTTAACCAATGCATTGAAAAGATAGTAACATGAAAGGAATTCCTGCCTTTTTTGTCCTGTCTGCAAAATGCTGTTTAACATCCCAACAAACATTGAAAATACCCTTTCTTAAATGTAAAATAGCAACACCCTTGTTATAGAAAAGTCAGAAGGGAACAGATCAGGTAAATATGGGATTGTTTCTTTGCCATGACAACATTTCATGCATCCCTGAAATACCAAAGTTCTAGTTTTACACACCTATTTTTCTGACCAATCAAAAGGAAGTTGGCAGGAACTTATCAATTTGAACTTATTTAAATATTAAGTAACATCAGTAAATTTATTTACCAAAGAATATAATGCTATGGATCTCGGTAAGGTATCAGATGCTTTGAATATGTGGTTGCAGCAACCTTACCCAAGTGCTTTTAAGGTAATGAAACTTTATTTGTTCTCATTGAGAAGAATAAACTTTAGTTTAATTCATTAACACAATTGGAAATGTAACTATATCTGTAACATCAAACAAAGAACTTAACCATTGACTTTGCTAAAAGATTGTAATTGGCAATTAATCGTTAAAACCTAAACTTTAGATGGATCACACTGGGGGGAAAATGTAGTAGTACCTAAGTTGTTTTTCTGAGAGAGGCATGCATGATTTGGTATTTTAATTTATTTGAAATAATCAGTGGGATATTTTAACACATTAATCTTCTGCTGTTTTCAATTAACTTATACAAAACTAGCTTATCAAATCCTGGCAATGCTTGAAAAAAAGGCTTAGTAGCAATCAAACAGGAATCTATAGGTGGAAAAATAATTGAATGACTCAGGTGATTACATTTCTATCAGAAACCTCACAATGTCTTTGAAATCTCAACTAAACCTATTAAAGTGTTGTAAAAATCAAAGGATTACCTGAAAGTCTACAGAACCATCAACAGAAGCCAAAGAATTAAAAAAGAAAAGGAAGATGAAAACTGCAACTGAGAAAAAAACTGAGGTTCATTTCCTTCTAACATTGCTTTTTTTCCATCTTTTTCAGACTCTCATGGTATTGTAACTCGTTGAAATCCCCCAAGATCCCCCATCCAGGTAAAAAGAGGACTCATCAGACATAAAATGTGCAATCAAGGAATATAATCATCATTAATTGCTAATTCTCAGCGCTGATTCAAAATGACAATGGATATTGCTTCACAGGTCTATATTTCTTTAGAGGCAATCATTGGAGTGACAGCAATTATTGGCAATGCTTTGGTTTTAATAGCCATATTGAAATTTCCCAAACTCCAGAACATTACCAATTTCTTTATAGCTAGCTTAGCTATAGCTGACTTGCTGGTGGGTATCTTTGTAGCACCTTTAGCTGCTCTTAGCTACTTAGGTCTACCTGAAGATTATCTTGGATGTGTGTTCACCAATTCCATTGTTGTTGTATTGACACAAACTTCCATATTCAATCTGGTGGATGTAGCCATAGAGAGATTCATTGCCATAAAAAACCCTTTCTTCTACCAAGAACACATGACAAAAAGAGTTGCAGTGATTATGATCACTATCTCCTGGGTGCTTGCTATTATCATTGGACTTGTACCTGTATTTGGGTGGAATCTGGGACCAATGGCAGACAACAAGTGTGCTTTTGTAGCAGTGATAGACTTCAATTACATGGTATATTTCAACTTCTTTGGATTTGTTTTAACTCCACTAATTATCATGTTTGTGATTTACACCTATATTTTTTACATTGTTCGCCAACAAATGGCCAAAATCTCTGCATTAGAAGTCATGCAAAAGCCAGATACACGAAAACTAAAGAGTCGGTTTAAGCGAGAAGTGAAAGCCGCCAAATCATTAGCTGTTGTTTTCGGAGTCTTTGCTCTTTGCTGGATCCCAATTCACATTCTGAACTCCATATCCCATTTATGTAAAACCTGTAGCTATCCCATAAACCTTCTACTGGCAGCCATACTTTTGAGTCACATCAACTCCACAGTTAACCCTTTCCTGTATGCCATTGGAAACAGCCAATTTCAAGTTGCCTTCAAAAGGATGTTCTGTGGCAAGTCCACTGCAGGTTTCTTAGACGATGATTTTACTACAGTTTCCAGGGCAAGATCCAAAGGTCATAAAAGAAGTGTTGACAAGCCATCACCAGTTCACATGCCAAATAACCAATATGTTAATAAAGGTTTCACGGGATCTAACAGCAATATACAACAGTCTTCACAGAATGGCCAAGTTTTTCATATAGCTACATGACACAAAACACTTTTCTTGAAATTATTTGATAAATCTGTAGTATTGTATATACTATATACAGGGAAATTTTTGCCCCCAATTTATTTTCAACCCTTTTGCCCTCATTGCAAGATAGCAAATTAAAAATGGGGTGAATTCAAAGAAGACAGCATTATTTCAGAAACAAAACTGTGTCTGGGCAAATTTAAAAATGGGGCAAAATTGTTTCCAAGTATGTAAGAGCAAAAATAATCCTGTATACATTGTTTAAATTCACAATGTTCAACATTCCTGGATTCATGGTGGTCAATAATTACTGGATTGTTGAAATTTTAAGATATGTTAGAAAATTACAAGGAATTTAGGATGTATGTTTTTTGAGAAATCTTGTGAAGAAATTTTTTGAACTCAATATCAATGATGGTTTAAATTTATAAGCATTGATGACTAAGAACCATGAAATATGAAACCAAACAAAGATGATTGATAATATTATTATTTTTTTGATGTTGTATTTTTTATAATTTATTTCAGATCCTACTTTTTACTTTGTTGAATGTTATAAAATATGTTGAAACTTTAAGATTACTATGAATAAATGTTACAAAAAAGTCATGGATTCTTTATCAATGATTTTTTTTATTGCATGAAAATTTTTAAAGATATTTTGTGCAACTGTTGAACTGCCAAAAAAGCATGTAAATATCTCCTTCATATAAACATATTACACCAAAAAAAATACTCTAAGAGTTGATCTATCAGCTTTCAAAAAAAAAAAGGGGGGGGGGGAGAAACAAGAAAAATGATGAAGTACATCTACTCTGATAAACTTACATGGACTCCAACTTCTTTGGAGTTAAAATTGGCATGGCTCCACTGATCAGCATGGTATTTGCGCTGGTACTTTGTGATGGTTCCTGCCCCTCGGACTGATACATCATTGGTGTGGAAGGCAGCATCAATAACCAGCTTACCATCATAAACTAGACAAGCATCATTAATGGCTGAAACAAAATTAAATCTCGTTATTATTTCAAGGACTCTAGTATGTAAATTTTCATTACATCAATATCAAATTGTATCTGAGAAAGCCCAAGGTTATCGGTTTTCTTCAAATTTGTAGATCTTTTATAAAGATATTTTTAATCATCATTTTTTTGGTTGTACTCAAAAGTCAGTTCTTCAAATTTGTAGATCTTTTATAAAGATATTTTTAATCATCATTTTTTTGTACTCAAAAGTCCCCCCCCCCCCCCCCCCCGAAAAAAAGAGCAAACAAACAAACAAAAAACACTCAGTTAAAAATAAGATAGGGATACTATTTGAGTCTGAATTAAAGTATCATTTTTGCTACTGCATAAAAAGAAACTAAGAAGGTTTTAAGTATTTAATGAGCAGGTTCTAGTAAGTACAGATTCTAATGACTAAGATTTTCTTTCTTCTTGAAAAAAAAAGACAAATAAAGTATGCATTGAGGTTTTTTATATCTCTTCAATTTAGACAAATATTTTTTGTTGTTTGATCATCATCCAGAGCAGTAAAAAAAACAACAACAACATAAAGACTTCAATTTATTTTAGAATTAATGCAAATCTCTGAAAGCATGCCTGTTTTGCTATGTTTTTCATACTTTTATTGATTTTGAAATATAAAATCTCACTTTGATCAAACAAGGAAGGCTGTTAAATAAGGATCAATTCATTCTGAGAATGGATTGATCAACTTTTAATATTGTGAAATCTATCCCTAATTACAACTTGAAAGTGTCTGTGCTATTGGATATCAATAATAATTATCATTGCAAATAAAGCTGACTCCTAAAAAGAATGGTTCCATTAAAATGCATTCCCTTTGATTAAGGTCTGTTAAGTACAATCTAAAGATTTTAACATGATTTAATACAGAATTGATTAGTGGTAGTCAAATTTATATATGCAAATCACTTTATAAAAGGTTTACTCTGTTTAAGTCAAGTTCAAATTTCCTGAAAATTTGAAGTCAGATAAGGCAAAACATGAACATGCAGACAATTAAAATATAGTAAAGACACAGCCACCTTCATAATAACTAAGTTTAAAAAAATGAGAGAACTAATACATCATTTTTAAATTTCCTCTAATGTTGCTGAAAAGTCACCCAGTTACAAAATAAAACAATATTGCTGCCATTAACAAACTCCATTTCTCTCCCTCCCCCGCTAAACAAATCAGTCAATGTCTGATGTTTCCAAAAGAGGGATTAATACTCCTAGAGAAGATATATAAATACAAGCAATGTTTTCAGACTCATTTATCACATTTGCCAGTTGGTTTGAACAATGTCTCTCCACACATAATTCTAAACTAAATATTGGACAGATCTCTCCATCAAGTCCAGTTCTCTTATGTGGTGTGATCAAGATTGGGTCATGACCCTAAGACTTCCATAACATAATTTCAAATAACATCACAACACTCTCTTTTACCTAAAAGACAGTGACATAATATAATTTGAATTCATGCCATGTAAGCAGATTTGCAAAATTGACCTCCATTAGACACCTTTAGGCTTTAGGTCAATACCAATAAAAATTTGACTTCATTCAAAACAAAAGGATATAAAGTTACAGCTTGAACACAAATGGTGGCCTCTATAATTTCAGGATCTCTCATCATCATGTGACCTCAATGTGACCTTGATTCAAGGTCAAGTCACGGGCAACAATATCTTCAAGTCTGAAAATTTCAGAACTAATGCAAAGTCAAAGATTGCACCTGATTTCTGACAACAGAAGGATAGCAATTATGCATTAAACAAAAATTCAAGCTTCCTCAAGCCTCTCAGTTTAAGTAATCCAAATATTATATATTTCTTTGATGCAATTTGGTTTTAATACAACAAATGCCTCCTACGCTGTGATTATTGGTTTTAGAAACTTAATCCTTTTCTGCTATCCTTGAAATCAATATTCATTTATACACGACACTGATAATGTTGATACATGATCAAAATTTACGTAAAACATATCAATGCATAATTTTACATTCTGCATGCATGATCTTTCTACATTATCTTTACAGAGGAAGCGCTGATGTGTTTCCATCAGATTTCACATTCTAAAGTTAACAAAAAGTCATATAAAACTTGGTAACCAGCTAAAAAAAAAACAATTACTAAAGCACTTCTTAAAATGAGCTTGATTTCCATGTTTCAGGTGAAAAACACCAAGTAGCTAGTATAATGGAAAAAGAGCTGGAATACTCCCCGTAACTTCTCCCCTGATAATGTATAATCAAAGATAATGGACAATGTGACAATTAATTCAGATTTATACTGGGTGAAGAAAAGGCCAAAGATATTGTTATGCACCAAATAACCCAGAATGTTGTTTTAAAAAACATAGCAATCAAAAGTAAATTAACATCTTTTTTTCAGTGAAATTAATGAAATGTCAAAATAACTCAGATCAAAGACTGGGATATCTATTGAAAATTGTTAACTTCCAAATGAATAGGAGCATAATGAAAAGTATTCCTAGAGATGACCTCACAAATTCTAACATGACATGGCTCTGTTTCAGAATGCAGCCACACAATAACTGTAGTTGAGATCCATTATTGGGATTACCGGTAATCACTGTAATATTGTGGAATTGTTTACTTACCCTTGAAAGCATCAGTGTCCACAGCTCTTTTGTAGTATGTAAAGAATGCCTGTAATTCATATAAATCAATGCAGCAGCAAAAATCTATTAAATGTTCTGTATAATGAATCATTTACAGAATACTGGTAATACTTTTTTATTAAAATTGTTTGAGATAGCATTAAAATTTTTATATTTTGTCACTCTATTGAATATTAAAGCTATATATATTTTATAAAGGAAATTGGAATATTTATGCATGACACTTTTAGGTTTCTCTTTATATTTATATATACGAGGGTTGTTCGAAAATTATTGAGACATTACTTTAACTCCATAAAGAGCAAAGATAATTTCAGGAAAATTCGTCAACATTTCATAAAGAACGAATAAAACAATTATACAAAATTTCTAATTTAAAGGATAACTAGATAAGTTCCGGTGAAATAATAAACATACATATTCTATCGAACTGGAGCAGCATCGCTACGTCATTTTAACGTCACGTCAGCCGGAGATGATTTTGCATGTGAAACGATCGGGAAGCGTTTACTCTTCTTTCTTTGTTATCAGGATTATATACACTACAAAAATCAAACTGTTTTTTTTTCTTAAACGATTCCTTAAAAAATGTGTGCTGTTGTTTCATTATTGTAAATTTTTCATACGTCATTTATACAGGATGACTTAGCATCATGCAGTGCCGATTTATGCAACGCGGGTCAACGTTATTAATTCCGTTACAGTAAAAATTGATGGTCGTCCGGAGCTTTTGATTTTACTGTAGTTGAATTATAGGTTAGAAAAAAATATATACCAATGAAATACATGTAACAAACCCTTAGACATGTTTTTTTTCTCGTTGTTATTGTTTTAGCAGGTTGGTCAGTCTGGAAAGGAGTTTTACATAGCGCTACACAAAATTTTAGGTATCTCGCTTCTCCGCCTTGACGTCAAAATCCATTTTGTTGTCGTTATCAGATTTCTTTACCGCTCTTAATTTTTTTAATGATCTCCGCATTTCTGATCAGAATTCTAACAAACTTTCACAACATGAAGTCAAAATAAAATTAAAAAATTATATACATAAATTGAATTATTTTTGCTCTTATTATGGGTCCACCGGGGTGTTGAACATTGGTGTTACATATTTTCAATATCTGATTTCGTGACTGTGCCAGGTACCCCTACCATTGACACATTTATATACCATTGAAGAGAGGAAATATAATATTTGTAAAATATTTCTTGCTTTTATGAATTCTTAATGTTTGTCAAACGTATATCAAATTTTCACCGGAAGACGTTCATTAGAAAGAAAAATGTACAAAATGTCTCAATAATTTCCGAACAGCCCTCGTATATGGAATTGTTGTGTTTTTTTAATTCACCACTGGAAATATCTATTATTGTCTTGGATTTATTTTAATTTTAATCTTAAAAATCATTTTACAACATGAAGTATTGGTATCTTAAGACTCTAGATATTCAGTTTCAACCCCCCCCCCCCCCCCCAAATTATCATCAGGATAATGTCTTGAACATTTTGCAGTCTGCCATATAACTGAATAATTAAATTTCACTGGACATATAAGTTTTACTTAAAGATTCTTACCCCACATTCCAATCTCAGAGGTTTCTTTTCAGATGTAAAGCTAGCTGATGTTATCTCTGCTGGATCCTCCCCATCATTCCACTGGGCTAGGATGTACCCAGAATGCACCTGGACACCACTGGACACTAGAGCCTGTTTCACAGCTTCATCAATCTTGGGGTCATTAAAACAGGTAGACTGGAGCCAAAGACAACAAATCCATTTAAAAGATTTATTTTTCTAAGTAGATAATATTAAATAGTTTTCAGAGGCAATGAACAATGTAGCCTGAATAATACATTTCCTATATAGCAATCAGAGTTTTTCTTGTCTCTGTTAAGTTACCTGATAAATTGCAGGTGGTTCAACCAGCTGGATATTTTCCCCAGGTATCCCCATGGCTAACAGGGTCTGTACACAACAGTAAGCATCCAATGTACAGCCATACACTAAGGTCTTTTCTGGAAGATGAATAAGAAAATTGTATATACATAACTACAGTGATTTAAAAATATATCAAATTTGTTGGACATTCCTAAGATTTTCTGCAAAATGACATACACTGAACTCTGAATAAAAGATGGGATCATATGTTTATTTGCTTAAAATTACATGCATCCAGCTCAGTACATGCGATCCCAGACATGACCAAAGTGCTATTTCCTTGGATTTTTGATATGTAAATGACCAATGTCTCCATTCACATATATATATATATATATATATATATATATATATATATATATATATATATATATATATCAATTCTCTGCAATATCTCACTTACTGTTAGATTTAAGGAAATAATTCTCAATCCAGTATAGAGCCACTGCAGCATCATACTCGTCATTGATTGTGAACAGATTTTTGGGTTGCGGTTTCAGGTACCGCCTATCTGGAGAGTTGGGCAGCTCACTGTTAGTGGTCCCTGTGTCAATATCTGCTTCAGTGGGGGCAGGAACTTGGTATTGTTGTCCCATGCACATAACTAAATGATCATAAGGAACCATTGTAGATCCATTCACTATAACAACTTTCTTTTTCCTGTCACAAGCAGTCATTTTACCCACTACTACATTGACCCAGCTCCTTAAGGATATTTTGGCATAACTGTCCTGATCATAGCAGTATGAGCGACCCAACATCTGATCCCTTAGTTCATCAGGAGGCATCTCCCCAGGCAGGCCGTGAGGTGAGATCAAAGTCAGATTGTTAAAACGTAGATGGGGGCTGATTTAAAAAATCAGAAATGTAAGTATTTAGAAAAATCTTGCTATCACAGTAAACAGCAAAGTAGATATTTTCACCATATTTTAAACTATCTTTTAATCAAAAGTTAAGGCTTACCAATATGCAAGTGCCTCCAAAAATGAAATTCCAACATCTGATGCTCCCACTACAACTATTCTTGCATTTATTGTAACCTATAAAAAAGAAATAAATTACAATTTACTAGGAAATATACAAAATACTTACAATAAAACACATCTCAAATAAGTACAGTTTGTTTGTTTTTTTTTTCTTTAACTATATAATTTGTTCACTAATTATTTAATTCTTTACAGGTACTATGCCAAAGCTTCTCTTTAAAGAGTAACTTACGGTAAACAAAAAATAAATAAACTGAATAACTTGCCTTTGGCTCCATCACAAGTTTCCTGTTGATGTGATTCAGGGCGTAACATTCCTTCTCCTTCAGCACTCGATCAGACGGAGCATTGATTCCGAGCTTTTCCAGGGGGTAAATAACCTGTCTGCGAGCTCTTACTGGTACCATGTCATTAAGAGCACTCACCAGAGAATGTTTCTCCACTGTCTAAATGAAATGTCAAATCATTCTAACTAACAATGGTGGAACAAATAAAACAACACAAACAAAAACTAAGGAAACATTCCACATAAATACCCATAAAAGGTTGGAACCAAGAAAAATTTGCTGATAATTCTCACACAAATAAAAGCTGGTTTACAGCAATTCAACTTAATGTTCTGTGTGTTTTCTTTAAAAATCTGTATAAAATTTAGAGAATATACCTTAAGTGCTGTTTGGTTTTCTTACCTCCTTTGGTGTATAACTAGGATACAAGGGATAATATAAACAAGTCTTGTGTCCTTGTCGGAAAATTTCCTATGAAAATACAAACAGGAGTTACATTAAATTGCAATATTTCATCCAAGTCTTGTTTAAAACATGGCAGAATTACGATAAACAGACACTTACAATACTTTGTTCTTGTTTTGTTTTGGCTGAGAGAATGAATGAATTAATTATAAGTAACATATTGTTTGCTTGCTTTGATGAAAAGATGAAGAAACAAAATGAATAATGTTATACTTACTTTGATAAAGTTCTTAGATAAATGACTAAATATTGGGTTCAAAGCAAAGTGATGGAGATGAGCGTGGTCTTCTCTCTTATGATGATTGTAATATATGAAGTCTTCAATGTTATAATGGGAGCGAATATACTCAATATTCTGAAAAAAAGAGAGACACTTTCGTAATGTTCTTAACAAAAAAGGCAGTCAAAATTTCAGGATATTTTATAATTTAATGTAATTGGGAAAACTTACCTCTTCTCTCCGAATTACTGAAAGGCCTACAATTTGACCTTGGCATTCAGCAACAAATGCTTGTATCTCAGTTCCATCCTTAAAGACATACGCATTATTTAAGACACATCATGGCTTTTTAATGAGTACATAAAATGTATTCAAAGAGATATTCTAAAACATTACATGTGATGGTAATTTAATAGCAAAGATACATATAACAGTAGGGAAAATTAAATGACCACATAACATTAGAAATCTTTTTGATTAATATGAACTCTGGTTTTGTAAATTACTGAAGGGTTTCTTTTTTTTTTTTTGTATGGGCTTGTAAATATTCCAGGCTAGTGAAAGTTGGTTTACAATATATATTCACAATCAATCAGGGCTAAATTATCATAACATTTATTTTCACAAAATTTCTTTACATATCACTTCTTTTATGTGTATCAGCAACTCATTCCATTCTCAAATATCATTTGTCACGGGCATGCATTTTTAATTGATGATATGAAAATAGTTACATGTATAATAGTTGCTTTACACTTGCTGTCATTCTCATTAACAGTTATATGTAGTATAAAATAAGAATTACCTCATCTCTCCTGGCTTTGTTGAACTGCTGTAAATCTCTGAGGATATTCTCATTGAGATGGATGCTCTTCACTAGATTCTCTGCACCAGTCATGTCTTTTGTACTGGCTGGTCTCACTTTGAAATCTCTGGTTGAAAAAAAAACCAAGTTTTCTTAATTTTTTACTGCATGTCCATGTGAAAGGAAGCTGAACATTCTATGAATGCTAGAACTTACTTTAACAGGCCAGCCTTATAGAAGGCGTACAATTCCTGTGACAAAGTGCTTGGACATCTTGGGGTCACTCTCTGTAATTTGGAAGTAATCAATGATCAAACCATAAAGAGGAACATTGATACCAATGATTCTGTACAGAATGTTATTTTTTAACTTAACAGCTGACTTACCATGAATCTTTGAAGCAAAGGGAATTCGGGAACAAGATGTGGTACAGTGATGACACAGAAGTTAAGCTCTGGGAACAATGAAAAGCAGGTAGCCAAAAAATCTGATGATCTGAAATGTTACAAAACTTACAATGATCATTATTCTTCAAATTCTGTCATTAAAAAAAATTGCAACTGAGAAGGAGTCATTTCTAGAAAGAGGGAGTAAAAATATAATTTTACAACATTAAGTAGACTTAATTTTCTAGAAGTACCTCATTTCGTATCGTTCATCAATACAAAAAAGTTGTATGCTAAATGCATTGAGAGGTCCCTTGTAAGTTGGAACAAAGCGCTTGTGTGTCCTCATGGGTGTGATAGGCTGTGGTGTTCCTAGTCTGGACTGCACAGTCTGTAACATTTAATCTAACTGTGCATTTGAACAAATATTTTAAATTTTTCAGTATATTTTGACCAAGGTTGTCTTTATCAGTACACTTACCTCCTCCCTAATTGAACTTTTTCTGCTGGAGACCTGTGATTCCCGATCCTCAGCATCATGGACCACCTCCTCCATCTGCTCCCCATCACTCAATAATGAGGCCCCTGTCAGGTGGGCATCACTCAGTTTACTTTGGACTTTTGGAAGATCACCTGACATACTTCCAGCTATTAGTAATAAAACAAGAGAGTATGAACAATGCAGTACTTAATGTAGAGTCAAAGTAATACACAGATATTTTTACATTTTAAAAGGCAAAAAATTTTCATAACAAAATGACTTCTTTCTAACACAGTAAATCCACTTCATAAATGGCAGTGACCTTGGACCCCCCTTTCCAAATAAAATTATACATCCATGGAAAAAATATGATTATGACATTTTTCCTCATTATGAATGCATAAACAGGATAGTATGTCTATAGAAAAAATATTCCTTACCTCTGGAGTTTTGGCCACTTGATTGTTGACTACCAGGTTTCTTTTCTTCGTTTTGTCCATCTGTTTGTTCTGTTTTGCTGTTTGTAGAGCTAGCAGACTTTTCAGACATCTTTGACCCAGGTCTTTCCTCCTCTATCATAAAATAAAAAGTTTATCCTTAATTCTGCAAAAACTGTTCAATCAGCAATTTATATGCAACAATTTTATGATTAAAAAATTCTACATTTATATGGAAAATATGAGAAATTTACCTGTGGGTGCCTCTGGGGGAGGAGTTTCAGGTGGAGACACTTGATCATCTGGGTGGGGCTTCCTCAGTCCATGAAGTGCCCCAAGCTCAAAACAGTTGTTCAGTAAGTCCACATTGACATCATCACTGATACTCATAAAACCAATGGCAGTTCCATCAACCTATAAAAGTGAAGAAAAATTAAGTAATGAATACTTGGTGTAAAATTATACTTAAATTTGTAAATCACACTGTCTATCAAGCAGCTTCACTTATAAAGCAGCATTATCCTTTTATTTACTTTTTCAAGTAGAACGGCTTATTCTTATGGTTTTATATGTGTATAATCTTAGGATATAAAAAGTGTTTTCAAAGTACATATACATGTATGTATCAATACCTCAGCTACTAGGCAGTGCATGTGATCATCTTGAGCTTCGATTAATTCTGCCAAGAAGTAGTCTCCATAGGCCATCTTAAGCATGTCGCTCTGACGATTAAATATTGGAGTCAAGTCATCATGGTCCTCCACCCTACAAAATATATATAGTGCAAATATATTTGACTATTAAAATCATCCCATCAAACCAGTATGTAGTTATTGAGCTGATAAACAAAATAAACAAGGATTTCTTATACTGTATGTATGGAAAATTCATCCCTGTTTCATTTCTGCCTCCAGATTCATATGTTACATTATGTATCATGAATTAGCTAAAATGTCCTGGGAAATATAACATGGGACAAAATAAATTCTAATGCATTTAATTTGAACAAACATTAAACAAGACCTTAATAGTTCAACATTCAATATACAGTTGACTCTCAATCTCTCAAAGGTAAAGGGCCTTTAAAAACGTTCAAGAGATAGAGGGGTTTGAGAGATGGATAGGGGAAAATCTGGAATTTTCAGGTGTGATCATTATGGTTCTAGTTTTGTTTACTGGGTGTATTTCTTGAAAATACATGTACATGTATTCTGCTTTCTGGGACAATTTTACTGGTAATTCATTTGATTTTAACAACAAAGATTGTATCTAAAATGAATAAAAAAAAAAATTGCTGAGTTTCAATATTCATTTATTCTCAATTCATTACTAAGCTTTCATGGCATAAAGCACAAACTTAAATTCTGAACAGCATACCCGATCTCCCCAGATTGACTGGGTTCTTCTCCAGATTGCTCAGTATTGCTTTTCAAATCTTTAGATATGAATTTTGTGGAATGGTTGCCATTTTGGGATTGCGGAGAAATTTAATAAAGGATTTTAATTTTTGAGAAATTATTGACATGCCTTGCCAGCTGTCAAATCAATATCAGTCGTAAATGGCTATCTTTTTTTCTTGTAATTGACCAATCAACCCATGGAGGACACAGGTGTAGTGTCACCTACGTAAACACACAATTTACACATCCATACTAGCCCAAGGAATTCACCGTTATCCATGAAACTCTTAGCTGAATTAATCACACGCTTGACTGATTGGTGTGTATGCGCAATCAACTCTTCAAGAGATCAAGAGTAATAAACAATGAAATCTGTGTAATGGAACCCAGATCTTGATTCAAGAGAGACAGAGAACTTTGAGAGATTGGAAGTTCAATTGATCAGGAGTAAATCTGCTTAATTATATACAGAAAAAAAAACAGGACCGGGGTTTCACTTCAAGAAATTAACTTTGAGAAATCAGAGTTTGAACCATTGAGAGCACCTGTATTCCTAGTAGATGAATACCACATACTGTGTGGTGTGATTTTTTTTTTACCCTGTTCACTCTAGCTCATCTTTACACAGCTAATTTGTCAAAGAAAGAACACAGCTTTGATAAACATATTGCTAACTTTGGGTGAACTCAAAACAGAGGGAAATCATATAAAGATGTACTTGGGCAAAATTAAAAAGCTGGCGAGTAATACTAAGTATACAGCAGTCATTATTAAGAAAGTAGTACAATGAATTTGTACACTGTATCTATGTGAAAGAAGTACAAACCTGGCTTTTCTGACATGCAGTACAGGCACATGCTTGTGTCTGTGGCAAACAAACACAGCCCCTTTGGCGGCCCCAGGAGATCCCTCCTTCTTGTCCATTTGTTTGAACAGTTCATCAAGAGCAGAATCTGCAACATAGAAATAAGTCAACAATATCAAACAATTTTCCTCCTGAAACAACTGTAGCTTATTCGGGCTCAAAATTTCTTAACTGCAAGATGTGAAGTAAGCAAATTTTTTTTTACTTTAATAAAGAGGGTTTAATAATATTTTTAATTAACACTGTATTACCTGGATATGCTCCCATTGGGACCATCAGAAAGAGAAAATGAATATCAGGAACAGCATTAAAAGCTGTTCTAATTATCTCTCTTGCACAGCCATGTGCATACTCTGGTTTAGCCACAAAATAATGCATAAAAAGGGAGTTTAGTGCATTGCACTGCTGGTTGCCATATGTGTCTTCAAACCAAGTCTCCCATGTGGCTGGGTCTACATCTGTGTTTGGATAATCAAAAAAAGCAGCATGTCCAAGGATTTCCTCTCTGTCATTGCACAGTGTTACAGCAAGGACTGCCTTTTCTCTGTAACATTACAATAAAATGCTCATAAATGCAAATGCACTGTTTAAAATCTTTCTAGAAACATCTCATTGCCTCTAAAACAGTTTGACTCATTGTTTTCTATATAAGATATCATTTTGTAAAATATATTAAATGAAAGAATTAATACTTTGGTTGTACAGATAAACTAATTTTCGCTTACTAATGCTAACACTTACATTACATTCACAATATTTACTCTACCAAAAAGAGTATTGGTAGAGTCCTGAACGAGACTTAATATGTGTGGGGCATCAAGAGACTCTGTCCTTCTGGCATTAACCACCTCCGGAGGTCCATCCTTTGGTGCTATAGTTGCCATCTGCAAAAATGACAAACAAATGGAGAATTATTAGTAGTAGATTTATTTGGAATAATAGAGAGAAATACATGTAAAGCTTACTTAAAAGAGAGCAACAAAGCTTAATTAAAAGCAGGAAGTACCAGGTAATGTTGTGGAAAAATATCTTAAAAATTGCTAATAATTTGAGCATCAATATATAACTAAAATGGAATATGATTTTAAGTAAATGTATGGAGCTAGATGTTGAACAAGACTTTTGATCTTTTTTTAATAGTAAAGCTTACACAATCTGATTAGAAATTAAAGCATTGTATATGTTCACATTTATAAGCAATACATGTGCACATGCTCTAAAGCCTTTCATGATTGAAACCAGATTGAAGTAGTAGTATCATTATTCACACATACATAGATGAACTTATGTTTTAAACTGAATACGGTCTCTTCCTATACTAACGGTAAGGACCTTACCAGTTTGATATAAAAGATACTATCTGCTTGCATTTGAACTGAGCCAAAAATATTGGAAGAGAACTCACAGATATGAATGTAGTCCGAAATATCTGACGTTTTCCAGGCTTTTTTACGATTTTGATATTTGACGTGCCTGGAAAACACGTCAAATGTCAAAATCGTAAAAAAAGCCTGGAAAACGTCATATTTCGGACTAATATGAATGATATGCAGATCAACAGAATAATTCAAGGAAGTTTTAAGTCATTCTCATTAAAACCTGCATTAAATGGGTTTACTTGATTAAATGTTACTTACATTTATGCAGAAAAATTATGTTCAAACACAAAAACTTATTTGTTGGCACTAACAGTTGCAAACATTTGCCGCCATATTGAAACTGTTGCTAAGCAACAGTATTTTTCAGCCCATCGAATAAATTATTTGATTTAAAAGGTAAACAATAGTTCCGTGTTGCATAAAACCATCATTTATTCTCTGTTCTGCAGAACATATCAACATAGTGAGAATATGACCAAAAAATCCATGCAATGCGGGATAGTCCTGCATTTACTTCCGGATGAAAAATAACTTCCGGTAAAAATTCGAAGTGCGTACGAAGAAAGCTAAGTGAATATCAATTAAAGGAAAGCTGCACTGTACGATGGATGTTGACGAAGAAGGAAAGAGGCCAAAAATGCCCAAAGTGGCAAAGGTATTCAAACTTTCTGTGCTGCGTTCTTTTTCCGTTGACTCCTAATAGTAAAATTCATACAGTACTGTTCACTATTTGTGAAGATGTGTTCGAATTTCCTCATCTCAAATCGTTTTGTATCTACTGATTGACAAAAGCTGACAGAATTGTACACTCGATTGATCCATAATACTCCAAAATATTTTCACGTTTAATACTGAACATATTTCTTTGAATTCAAAAAAGTAACTTAACATCTGTAACTTAATTTCCAGATGATTTCCAAAATTAATGCAGGAAAATCTGTCTTGATTGTTATCTGGGACTGCCGATAAAGGCATAATTGTAGACTAATATAGTCTTTACATATAGTCTATAGAGCTCAAATCAAGCACCACTTAAAGCCCCTCGACATGCCACATAAAAGTCTTCGGAAGAGTTTGTATTTGTCAGATTTTAGATTCTATTTGCAAAAAAGGAGATATTTACTTTCAAAGTTGATGTTTCAAGTCAGATCAATCAAATGGAAAAAAATATACACTGGAGAAGTATAAAATATGCATAATGAAAGGGAAATATACATACGCAAAATGAAACAATGTGTATTATAATTGTTAAATAAATATTTTTCATGCTCATCACAATAGCTCTGATAGCTAGACTAAGCAGAATGGAGTATTTTTTATGAAAAAAAAATATACTGTAAACCAACTTTTATTTATTTGTTAAAAATATTGGCAGTTTCTGCGATCTTGATTTACTTGCAAGTATTTCTTGTTGCCAACCAAATATATAATTTTGTGTTTATCATGTTTATGTAGAATGTTTCTTTTGTCATGAAAATTAACAGTCATATTTGATTTTCAAACTGATGAATCACAAGTAAAAGTTGTCCTGAATAATACCAGTAGTTGATTCATAGTATAATGATGAAATATTCTCCATGTATCCACTTGTTGTTTTCCCATTATTTTTATATATACAAAATTAAAAACTGCTCATGCAAAAAAAAAAAAATCATTTTTTTAGGTCAAGAATAAAATGCCTGCACCAGTTCAGATAACAGCTGAGCAGCTCTTGCGAGAGGCAAAGGAGAGGGAATTGGAATTGGTTCCTCCAGTGAGTATGAATTATTTTTAGGTCATAGTCAATTATATGATCTATTGTCACCTATGTTTGTCCATCTTTGTATGTTGTTTTTGTAATTTCTACATTTTTAGCCTTATCTTTCCAAATCATTGGGCCAATTTCAATTAAACTTGCTTTTTAATATGTTTCTCTAAAGAGGAAATAGTCAAGAAAGAGTAAAAATGAAGTGGTATTATTATTTTTTTTATATTGTTTCATTAACCAAAATATGATAAAGCATGGAAGCTTCTTTCTATAGTTTGTTCAACTCTGTACTCTGGGACTAAGATAGCACCACAAAGGGAGTCCAAAGAAGTAACACCGTAATATGCATATCTACTAAAAGTATTAAAAATCTTTTTTCTCAGAAACACCAAGGCTACAAATTTTCAAATATGTAAGCTTAGGGTCTCACTCTGTGCCAGTCTGTGGTCACCTTGTAGTTATTAGTATAAACCCGGTCCTACTAAACAGAGTACGCTAGTACGATAGAGTACTTTAGAGTACGCTAGTAAAATTTAATAATTTAATGCAATTTTTAACTACTTTTTGTATGTTTTTCTACTTTAGTTAAACATAATGAATATATATTTTAAATTAGATTTGTATGTTTTCCTTATTTTAGGAGTTATTTCAAATTCTGATTTCAGATGACGGTTTATCGTTTGATGCCGATCTAATTTAACTTGAACATGTTGAAATGTTTCATTGTTAATGTAAAAAATATTTATATAGGGCAATAAATTTAATTTTTGATAAAATTTAGTTGAAGTTAGTAAGTCTGAAACAAAATATTAATCGAGATCAGAGTGTTAATAATCTTTAACAGTTTAATGCATTGAATCATGAATGTTATTTTCTTGTCAAAATAGCGCTAAAAACAAATATTTTGAAATAAATATTGCAATATTAGTTTATAGTAATGTTTAATCGAGTTATATTTACATAAATAAACAATTTAATTGCATTAAACTACACATTTTTTCTAGCGTACTCTAAAGTACTCTATCGTACTCTAGCGTACTCTGTTTAGTAGTACCCGCATAAACCTACCTGTTCTTTCCCATATTACTTGTCTGGAGTATATTTTCTCTACATCAATCTTGGCCCAATCTGGCTCATACTTCACCTACAGTTTCAGGTAATAAAGGGTATACAGTAACCTTGATCCAAGTTTCTAGATTAAAGTTCGGGGTCAAAACAGATTTCTGTCATAAAATCCTTGACTAGCCCATTTTTCTCCCCTTTGCATTTGCTAAAAGTAGGGCCCTATAGAATTGCCATTATCTCAGTAATATGTAATTTTGGTTGCAGGTTAGTGTACAAGAAAGCATTTGCTTTTCAAAATATATAAGTTTTTTTCTTCTTTATTTAGCCTCCAAAACAGAAGATATCAGACCCAGATGAACTTAGAGAGTATCAGAGAAGAAAAAGAAAGGTAATTTAATTTTTCGTTTTCATTGATTTTTAGACTCAAATTTTCATTTGTGTAGAAAATGGAGATAATTCAAGGCATAAATATTACTTTGAATTAAGAAATGAATGTAATATTTTTTTCTTTGACCGACGTATCAAAGAAAAAATTTGGACGGAAAACGTCATCAATGCGCGTAGCGCATTGATGAAAACCTTTTCCGTCCAAATTTTTTCTTTGATACGTCGGTCAAAGAAAAAAATATTACTTTCATTTCTTATCATTTAATTATGATTTTGAAATAATAAAATGAAACTTTCCTTCAGTTTACTTTTAAATTTACGCATCAAAAACAATGCGTAGGAATATATCACAACAATGTTGCTGAAATTCAAAATGGCTACAGGCCTTATGAAGAAACAATGTTCTAAAATACTGTCGTGTCACTACCAACCTTTTCTAACAGTAATTAACAGTTCTTTAACACAAAAAAACTTACCTGTTGTGTTATTAATTTTTTGCTATATCCCAATTGGTATATTTTCCCCGGAAAGCTATCTAGGTTCGTAAATTTAAAGGGATGTTACTCAGATATCCTAACAACTCTTTCTATAGGTCACAAAAATTTTGGATTTCATTTGCGCATCTCTTCATCTGAATTTAAAACCGAACATATAAATATGTATCACAACCTGTCCATGCTGTAAAATCTGAAAGAGTCTGTTGCCTACTGTTTAACATTGAAAGAATTCCGTCCTCATTCATGCAATGTCGTTTTTCTCGATCATTCGATTCCCAAGAATTAACAGATTAACGACATTTCCCCGCTTTGGTAGCATAAAAACATTTCTTCACAGTTCTATTGTTCATACCAGTTATCTAAAAAGCAAACATTTAACATAGGTATGCTGATTTCTTTCCTTCTTTCCCATTACTGTATTGTTGTCATGCAGACGATCTGATTTGTTTAGCAAAGGGGGATAATTCAAAAAGAAACGAAAGTAGAAAATAAGTCAGGAACGTAACGGACAAGTTTCGAAATTCAGGAAAATATCTGTTAGAGAAAAAGTATTTAATTGTTCCTTCGTGAACTTCTTGAAGCGGGAAATATACATGTAAAGACAGCCAAAGTAGTTCCGGTTGCAAAGTGCAAGCGAACTCCAAATTTTATTGATGCAGTTATCAAAAGAATTTTTTATCCAATCAGAATCAATTATTTTATAGAAATTAAATGATATAAATTTTCATACTCCAGACATTTGAGGACAATATACGTAAAAACAGAAGCGTTATGACCAACTGGATAAAATATGCCCAGTGGGAGGAGTCTCAGAAAGAAATTCAAAGGTATTCATATTATACTGTAGAAAATTTAAAGTTTTACTAGTACATGTGTATATTTTACAATTTGGGGTCAAAGTATATTCTCAGACTTCAATAATATTTTACCTTTATCTCAATGATTTGTGATCTGATACACCAGTTAGTGTTACATGATATCTATTTTAGAGCCCGTTCAGTATATGAGAGAGGTCTAGACGTGGACCATCGAAACATCACAGTGTGGTTGAAGTATGCAGAAATGGAGATGAGGTATGTGTATGGTTCTCCCCAACCCTATTTTTTGTTGCTTGATATATCCAATCCAGATTTTAGTATTTAAGTTTACTTCATTTTCAGTGTTGTGTGAATTTATTTTTTCAGAGCCAGACAATTAAACCATGCCAGGAATATCTGGGACAGAGCTATAACAATACTACCCAGAGCCAATCAGTTCTGGTACAAGTACACTTACATGGAGGAGATGTTGGGAAATATTGCAGGTTTATAATTAAAAAAAAAAAAACTCACTTATTTTCATGGGTTAAAGTTTTCCTTGTTTGAGGAATTTGATTTTATGGTTGAAGGAACATGATACTGTAGGGGAGGACATGAATTTTTGGGTCTCTTTCTAGCAGGAAAACAATGAAATTAAATCCCCAGGAAAATTAGGTGGGACTGCATTTGTCAAACCGGCGTACGCCGAATGCGCCGCTTGACCTTTGGTAACCCGACTTGTTATTTCATTTGACCGGGGAAGGTTTGCTGGCGTACGCCGATCTCACCGGTTTGAAATGACCGGCGATGGATTCGCCGGTCTTAGAAATATGGCTG